TGTCAGGGAAGGTCCACTTGGCTCAGAGAACTCGCAGAAGGCGTAGGATTGGGAGCAGCAGCAGCAGCAAGAGACAGAGGGGGCTGGGAGCACCACCCCCTTCCCATCCTGAAGTGCCGCTTTCTCCAGGGCTCCCGACAGGATGCGCTGACTCGGACTCTGCAAGAGGAAAGGGTGACGGAGCGGACTTTACTCACTTCTGCAGTCGGCCTCTAGTTCAGCAGCAGTTCCTTGTAGTTAAACTCTTCACAGGCTCCCAAACTAGCGCCTATCTCCACACCACCTGATTTCGCCTAGAGATAACCAGCCCAGTTAAAGCCTGGAAGGGCCTGGCCCCTAGACACACAGAGACCTGATTATCTCAGCTGAACATGGAGGGGGGAGGAAGGGTTTTAGTGGAAGCTCCCACAGGGCTAAATGGGGGGGAGGGAAAAGGAGAAGAACACAGTCTAAAGCCCCACCTGAACCCTCAGAGTTCTGATGCTCCCAGATTCTCTCCATTTCTTCCCTCCTTGAGGGACCTACATTAGACAGAGGGCTGCCCCCTGTGGCCCCTACTTACTGCTCTCTTTGCAGCAGACAGACACCTGGAGCCTCAGACACTGACCAGAGCTCTCTGGAGTTGGTACTGCTGTGGGATGAGAAATCAGGAGGAAGCAGTTAGCACGGGGAGTCAGTATCTTGCATGTCTGAGATTCTGTTTCAGACCCCTTAGCTTCTCTTGTCTCCTAGTTCCCGGGAAAGCTTCACCTAACTTTGGGGCTGTATCTAGATGCCAGGTCCCATCAATGTCCCCCGTTCCCAGGTTCCTTCCTCTTGCCTTCACTTCCTCCCCCCACCCCATTTCTACACTCACTTTAGATATCCCCCTATTTAGTCCTGGGCTAAATAGTTCTCCCTCTGAGCTTTAGGGACCACAGCCCTCCCTGCTCTCAGGTCTCTGACTTCATTCCCAGACCTGCGCCCCACCACCTCTTCAAGCTCTCTGTCTTCACTAGCAATGGCATAGATGACTGTTCTCCCTGATATCTTCCCCAGAAGGCATCCAGTGTGTCCTCCTCACTCACAGATGTAGTAGTAAGTCTCTCCAGGCAGAAACTCGAAGCCCAGGGAGAAGGGTGTAAAACGCTGAATCTTCTCTGAGAATCGAACAGGACCAAAGGGGGCAAAGGGGCGGGAGCACTCCCAGCGCTTGAAGGCACCCGCTCCCTCTGCGTGGCAGGCCTCATAGCCAGGCCAGTCCACCATGTACAGAGCAAACGTCTCAGGGCCCTCAGGGGGCCCTGGCCCTTCATAGTGTGGGCAGAAGATGTCTAGGTAATCGTTGAGGCCCAGCTCCACCACCGCGTCTCCTTGAAGCAGCCTACAGAATAAAGGAGGTGTGGGCTGAAGGGGTTGTCACACATAGCACAACTGAGGCATGGAGTCAGAGTCATCTCCTCGCAGAGTTCCTGTAAGCCTCTCCTCCAGCCATGGATGATAGGTGGTCTGAGGACCACCCACATGAGGAAGTTCTGATTGGAAGTACAGTTCTGGAAGGCCCAGTTCCCCAGAAGACAATTTTGGAAAGACAAAGAGAGTGCAAGAAATGGATGGAGGGACCAAGTCCCAGATGAATAAAGGGAGGTTCAGAGAAGCTTCAGAATTGCAGTGTTCACTCATAATCACATGGTTTACATGAGAGGCTATACATGCTACCTTTTGTGCTGGAGCTGCCAGCCACTTGTGCAGTAGCTCCAGTGGTGACACCAGGCCCATGCTTTGTCAGTATTAGGTGAATGGACATTGTATGGGAGTTGGGCACAGAGGCAGATACCTTTGGGGACAGATATAGGTCCATAGGCAGTCAAGACAAAGGTGGAAACTGGGTACAGTTCCTTAATGAAGACGAAGAGAAAGTAGGGATGCCTTTTTAGATCTCCATCCACTGGCGAAAAGAATGCTATGGTAAGGGGTGAGGGGAATAAGTGCTGGGTGCCTTTACTGTTTTGCCAAGACAAGAAGCCCACTCCACCCAGCATCCAGTCTCTGTAGCCTTTTCATGATTCCTTTCTTCATTTCTTGGGAGGTGGATGCCTCTAGGAGCCAGTGTCCATAGGAAGGACTGGGATGAGCTGTCCACTGTCTGCCCTCCCATCGCCGTCCTGGGCACTGCATGAACCTCCTTCCAAAGTCATTACACAGCAAGGTCTCCAACTGTCCCTCAATGATAGCTGGCTTGCACTGGGGGGTCTGATTAGAAATACAAACTTCTGGGTCCAGACCAGAGCACAAACATAGGCCTTACTATGTTTTGTTCTGCTGTATCCCCAATGCCTAGAAATATGCTCCACACATGGTCAGCAGCCAATAAATACTTGTGGACTGAATGACTGAACCAGACACGTCAGGGATGGGGATAGGAATCTGAATTTTTAACAAATCCCAGGAGTGGTTCAGAGGCATTGGTCTGGAACAGAGATAGAGGGATTGAGAGTTGGGTAACAACAATAGCTCTTATCACATGGTGTTGTAATGGCCTTTTTTGTTGTTGTTAATGTTGTTAATGTATACCCTCTCTGGGGTCTGTGGGCTTCCCCAGAACAGGGTCTTGATCTTCCAAGACATTATCCCTAGCACAGACCCAGGCACAAAGTAAGAGCTTAAATAAATGTTAGTGAGTGAACAAATGAACACAGTCACAGATTGTCTCAAGCAGAAAACCAGAGAGGAAAACAGATGGAGAAAGCAGAGAGGCAGGGAGAATTAGGGAGGGGTGTGGAAAGAGTAAAAAAATATGAAGGCTCAAAGACAGGCAGCTCAGAAGAGAGAAATAAATAATAGTTTTTATCTGTACATACAGCCCTGCATCTCTTCATGCACATGACCTCAGCTAGCCCGCCTGACTTCCCTGGGCACTCCAAGGTAATATGTATCATTAACCCATTTTACAGATGAGACAACTAAGGTTAGGGAGGTCAAATGACTTGCCCAAAGGTGATTCACTAGAAGAGGCTGGATAGAAACATGTATCCGATAAAGACAGTGATGAAAGTAGCGATATTAAATGGGATCAGGAGACAGAGAGCCAGAGGGGAGGCCAAGAGAGGCTCGCTCACAAAAGTAAAACCCCTTTCCTCATTCTCAAGTCCGCCAGCTTCACCTCCATCCGGCTAGAGGCTGAGGATCACTGAGAGAGAAGCGTGGGGGGCGGGGCCCAGAGTGCAGGCCGAGGCCCCCCGGCTCTAGGCTCTAAAAGCCCACCACTTACCCTCAGGCTGGGGTCCCTCGCCCGCCCCCAACATCTGCGGGTAGAGGAGCCTCGGGGCGCGTCCCGCCCCTCCCCCCTCCCCGACCGGCTCAAACAAAGGAGCCCCGGCGCGCGGCCGGGCTCAGGCGGTGCCGCGCATAGCGCGGGGAGGCGGGTGCGCGCCTAGCTCGGGAGCGCGCAGCCCCAGCTCGGCGTCTGTCCGGTTCGGCCCGGCTACCTGGGGTTACTGGAGTTCCAGTAGACGGCGTGGCGGAGGCCAGAGGCCCCCCGCAGCGGGGAGCCGAGAAGCGCGGCCCAGAGGACAGTCCGCAGCAGGGGCAGCAGCTGCATCGCCCCCAGGGTCCGGTCTGATCTGGCCCGGCCCGTCCCGGCCCGCTTCGCTGTCGGGGCCAGAAAGGTACAAAGTGGAGGGGAGGGGGGTTGCTGGGAGGGGGTGGGGTGCGGAGACTCACAGGCTACACCCCCGGGTAACTTTCCGCCAATAGAGACGCGTCACCTCCCCTCTACTCAGAGCCAACTCCATGTTAACTCTCTCGGCGCTGGAGCGCGCACCAGTTGAGTCAAGCTCCTGACCGTCTCAATTCGAGGCGGCAGGGAGGGGAACATAGTCTACCATCTAGGAATTGTTTGTATAGAAAGCCTTGTCTTTCGTGTCTGACCTTGTACAAAATACAACAATTTATAAACTTCGAAGACTTTAAATAGGGGCACGCTCCCTTTGCTCAAACAGGGTAAGTGAGGCACAGGCAACGATCCACGAGGTCTATCTAACCACCTGTGCACGTTGCACCTCTTTTCTTTGCCCTTCTGTGCTTTTGAGGTTGCGCGACTGGAAGGGACAAAGTGCTTCCTGGGACACTCCTCCCCTTTCCAGTAGAACCTTCTGGTAGCAGGCTTACTGTTAGTGCCTGTCTCCTTCCTCCCCACACTTCGTTCTGGGCAGCCCCAAAGAAATGAAAGGTGGTTGCGGCCTGTTCAAAGCACCTTTGTTCTTGAGCCCTCAGGTGGGGGCGGGGGTGGGGATGAGGAGGTGGCAGGTGCATGGACGAGGGACCGTGGGAGCCGCCCCACTCCGCTTTGGCTCCAGGACTCTGAAGCCTAGCCAGATCCAACTCGCCCAGCCACTGGTCAGAGAGTGAGGATCCCAGATCCTACTTTGTCAGTGGCCGCCCCGGGGGGGTGTCACACAACAGTAAAAGCAAGGACTTGGTGAACGCGCGCACAACTTCCTGTGGCATGGGATGGTGTTAAGAGCCATCTCTCAGCGTGGGCAGAAACTAGCCGGGAATATCCCGAGGACACACGCCGACCCAGCCTGGGACTCCCTCCTCCTTATCCCCGCCCGCCCTTATCTGAGACGGCAGCGCCTCCTGGCGGCCAAACCTGGAGCCGGAGCAGGGGCAGGCAGCACGGCCTTCTCTGAACAGACAAGCTCTGAGGCGAGCTCCCAAGATCTCACGTTTATTGCAGCGCACAAGTAACATGCAGTCCAGTCCTCAGCCATCCCTCGGCTTCCGCAGCCGTCCAGCCCCAGCCTCTCCTCAAGCCTTGCTGCCCCTCCTCAACCCTTGCTGCAATGGCGTGGCACATCCGCAGGGTGCATCAGCGCGTGGTGGGAGGCATGGATGGTGCCTGAAGACGCCTGCTCCACGGAGGCTTGACTGTCTCTCTTGCCCGGACTCCAGTGGGCGGGCTCGCCTCTTAATATCCTTCTAAGTCCTGGTTGGAGGCAGCAGACCCTCAGGATTCGTCAGAGATAGAGCGAGGACACCGCTGGGGGTGGGGGCGCTGGCCTGGGGTCAACGAGAAAACAGGATCCCTTTCACCTGGCCTCTCAGCGGGGCTTCCATCCACTGCACCCTTCCTTGCTTACCTGGAAGGTATGATCTGGGGTGGAGTTCCAGTCCCTGGGCCAGCCAGGTTATCTGATGAGCGCCGGCTCTGGGGGTCAGTAGGCAACGGTTTCCTCGGGGGTGGAGGCTTGGCAGGCCCCTGAGACTGAGAGAGAGAAAGCAGGAGGCCAGCTGCCATGTTGCCCACCCCACCCCCGACGCAGTGGCGCTGGGGAATATCAGTTTGGGAGTAGCACCCAAAGGTCACCATTGCCGACAAACAAACCTGTCACCATTGCCGACAAACAAACCTGTCACCATTAAAGTCGTCACTGGGGTATATGTGCCCTCAGGCATCGTGCCACGGCCACCACCGCCAATGCTACCAGCACCACAGCCCTAGGTGGGGGGAGGGGCTATGCCCTTCTCTCCCCCCACGGTTACCTTCGGGCGCCTCACCACCGGGTCAGCGGGCAGAGGGCGCGTGGGGGGATTGGGTCGGTCAGCCAGCTCAGCCTGAACAGAGAGAGGGGGCAGTAGCCATGAGTGTGCAGCCACGGGCAGTGGACATGCAGAGGGTCCCCCTAGGCGTTCAGGTCGACATGCAAAGCCATTCTGTTAAGGGGCAGGAGAAAGTGGGCATGCACTGAGTACCTCAGAGCATGCTACAGAAGATGCCTCAAGGGGAGAAAGGGGGTAGGTCACCGAGGGGGTTTCCTGAATGACTGCAGTCCTGCCAATAACCACCAGATGGTGGTAGAGACCAAGGCAGGAGGCTCACCCTTTTTGCTGCTTCTCTTGCCGAGTGTCAGGGCTGAGGGACACCCTGGTCACCTAATGAAGAGCCCCACTGGCAGGGAGCAGGATGAGAATGGCCACTGAGCACCAAGCGCCCCACCTGCTTTCAGCCTGGGTGGGCCTGGCCCAGATTTACCTGCAGTCTTTTGGGCACAGGGTCGGGTGGCAGCGGCCTGGAAGGAGGGGCTGGGAAGCCGAGAGCACTAGTCTGCTGAGAGAGCGGGAGGTGCAGATGGGTGGGGCACAGAGTTGGGGCAAGAGGGAGCAGAGAGACACACGTGGGTGAGAGGGGTTAATGTTCAGAATGGGACAGCCACGACCCCAGGGGCAGCAGGGGGCTGTGCGTGCAGTTATTCAGGTGCGTGCAGAGGGCGTGCCAAGTGGTGTGATGGGCATGCAGGCCACTTTCTCAGGTGCACTCCTGTCATCACATGCAGAGGGCTCGAGGCAGGGGCACTCACCAGCCCTGCTACACATGGCGACCTGAGCCTCAGCGGGTCCTGGTGCACTGAGGGCCATTCAGAGCACCACCCCCCTCGTGCCCTCCAGGGACCACTGCTGGGAGCACACATAGATCCACCTCTCCAAGTCACCAGCTTAGCCAGCTCTGAGAGCCTGCAGTCTGCCCTCTGGGTGATGGCCCCTCCCCTCCTGCAGGCTGGACTCCTCAGCCTCACCACCAGTTGGATGGGGTGTAGGGGGTGGGGGTGGGGAGGTGCTGTGTGGCTCCAGCTCTTCTGACTTACATGTGGACAGTACTAGCCTTTCTAGAACCTTTCCATGCCTTCCCCATCCAAAGGCACCAGCTGGATGCTAGGCCACGCTTGGCACCTTCTCCTCTAGTACCCAGGACTCACCTTAGTGCCTGGCGTCAGCAGGGCCCTCTGTGGTGGTCCTGGGCGCTCAGGGGGACCAGGCTGGGCTGCCCTGAACACAAGGAAAGCATGTGGGGAGAAGGCCCAGAATCAGACCCTGTTCTTGACCTATATGCCAACCTCCAGTCGAGCTAACCCTTGGCAACCCCTTGGAAAGGGCCTTATATGAGGTTTAGGCCAAATCAGGAGTGCAGAGATGAAGGGCCCCATTGATCTAGCAGTGCTATACTGCAGGGATATGGGGTGTAAGGTGCTGGGCCATATGCAGGGGAAGGGAGATGTTTGGAGAATGGTGATCAACAAGTTTAAAGTTCAGGGAAAGCAGGTGGTGGGAGCTGCAGTGAAGGCAGGACCTGGCTTCCGAGTGGGAGTTCCTGGTGATGGAGAGATGATGCAGGTACCTGTATTGGCAGCTGGGCCCCTTTAGCTGGCAGAGTCGCTGGCGTAGACGGGCACGATGCCAGTAGCTGGCACCAAGCAGCACCAGAACCAGCAGCAACAGGAGGCTGAGGAGCAGCCCTGTGGTCAGGGACCTGGACTCTGTGGGAGTGAGGCCAGGTTTGAATGTAGGGAGGGTTATGAACTCTGTACCCAGGAAGGAGCAGGAGTGGATATAGAGGCTCAATGACAGAGAAAGCTAAAGAGTCAGGTACCATGTAGAGTTAGGGAATCAGAGGCAGAGAGACCAGAAATAGGGGGTCAGGGTGGAAGGTAGGGATGAGCTGCTTTTCCCTCCCAGCAGTCGGTCCCAGGCCCTTTCGTGCTACCTTTGAGCCGGGTGGAACAGTCAGGCGCTGCCCATCCCTCATCACAGTGACACTGCTTATTGCTGTTGCAGACCTAGGAGGGGTAAGCAGAGCTATTAGGGCCTTGTTGCCCTTTCAGGGTAACCCCACTCCTACCAATACTCCCTCCTTTTACAGGATCTCAGCTTTCAATACCTGGAAGGTATGAGGGTATGGTAAGGTAGAAAAATCCCTAGAGACAGGGAGCCCTCCTCACTCCAGGGAAAATGAGATAAAATTAGCATTTACTGAGCACCCTCTATATGCTGGTTACTGGCATAGAAACTTTCACACTCATCTCACATAGCCTTCCATGCAGGTAGTGTTATGCCCATTTGACAGATGAGGAAATTGAGCTCAAAGAGGTTATTAACCTGCCCTTAGTCAAACTGTGAGGAATTAGTAAAGCAAGGGATTAGAACTCTTTCCAAAGCTCATCATCCTTTTGCTCCCTAGAGGATTCCTGCCCCGCCACTTCATCTCACCCCATGCCCATGGCATTTGCTTCGACATTCTTGTGTCCCCAGGAGATGCACAGGCTGGCATCGATGGTCAATGCACACCTGCCCAACGGGAGAGAAGAACCAAGGTCACATTCTCACAGAGCTTTCCTGGGACGGGAGGACAAAAGGGCTTGTTAACACCCCTATTATTGTAGCTGCAGAAACCAAGGCTCAGTGGGAAAACAGGATTGCTCCATCTGAAGTCAGAATCAGATTCTATACCAGAGCTTAGTGAGGCCTGGGTACGGAGCGTCTCAGTCCAGATATCCCTCTCCATCCAGGCTGCTCACCAGGCCAGGGCCACAGGCTGTGCCCGCCAGAGACCGTAGGGGCTGGGCCACGTCGTTGCCCAGGTCCAGGTCCACCCAGCTGCAGTTCAGCTGAGTCCCGTTGGCTTCCAGAATCTCCCACATCACGTCCCGGACTGAGCCCAGCAGAGGCTGAGTGCTGCCACCCTGGCACTGCAGTTGCCCACAGGTGGCATCTCTGGGAAGAGGAGGGCAGAGGGTCAGTGGAGGATATGGACAAGGCTCCCACAAACCTAGAGCAGCTGGCTTTGCTCATTCACCTAGGAGCGCAGGCTATGTAGCTGCCATTGGGGTTGCGCCCGCAGTTCCCAAAGGCGTCACCCCTGGTGTTAGCAGTATGGAGGCAGATGGGTGCAGCAGGCTGGGCTCCAGGTCCCCAAAGTGCCTGGCACTGCTGGACATAGGAGGCACAGCGCCCCTGCATGCACAGGGCCTGCCCACCAGCACATGGCTCGCCGTTCCCGAGGCTGATGTCAGGCGGGCACTGGGAGCTGTCTCCTGCGCAGAACTCAGGTAAGTCACAGTCACCTCTGGTAGGACGGCATGGCCAGCCAGCTGGGCGAAGCTGTGGAGGTTGGGCAAGGATCAGTGTGGGTGCTGGGCAAATCCAACCAGGCCCAGGGTCAGAATAACCCTCCTTACCTTTGCCCTGCAGGGTGGTCAGTCTAGTCTGTGCCTACCTGGCAGTTTTGACAACAGGGCCCATCAGATGCACACTGTGCCCCTGGTCTCAGCTGGCAGGTGAAGAAGTCACAGCAGGGATCAGTGCAGTCCTGTGGGCAAGGACACCAAGGGGGTGGGTCTGCGGCTTATCTCCAGCCTGTCCTCCCAGGGCTGACTGCATGTGAGAGCTCCCTCCAGCCCATGCTCCATGGGCCTCCCGCACACTGGAAGCGGGGGAGTCTAGGGGGCCCAGGAGTGAGTGGGACCAGGGTTTTGGTGTGAGGACTCACATCAGGGAAGCCACAGTCACACTGCTCTCCCGGCTCCACAAACATATTTCCACAGAAAGGGACTGCAGGGGGCAGGCGGGCCAGCCGCTCAAAGAGGCAACTGCCCAGGCCCCCCAGGAGTGCTTTCTCCAGGGCCCTTCGGCTGCAGTTGCTGAAGTTCAGGCCTGACAGGAAGCTAGGAAGGGTGACAAGGAGAGCTGCAGTGTGGACCTCTCCCTGCCCACTGCCCCGTTCCTGCCCGCACCCCCGTTACTCACTCTGTGGAGGCTTCCATGATGCAGCTCTTGGCTGGAGCTGGACCAGGACAAGGGCAGCTGCTTTCAGGCAGGTCATGGTCCAGGCCCAGACTGTGGCCCAACTCATGGGCTATTGAGGAGGCGACTCCCAGAATGCTCGTGGAGTGGTCCTGCCAGTGGGGAGGGGAGACCCAGGTCCAGTCCCGTCCTGCCTCCATCTCCATGCCCAGCTCATCTTGACAGCTCCTGCTCTCGCCTCATCTGATTTCTTGGCACAGCCCCCACTGCCTGCCGCTTTAATTGCTTCTGAAGTACGAAAGGAACCTCAGCAAAGCTGGGGTCCAGCTCAGTTCTTCTCCCTGCTCTCACTCTGGGGTCCTGGGATATCATCCTGCTTTGGACCTCAGTGGTTCCCCTTTCCCCTCTCTTGCCCTAAGTGATAGGCAGTCCTCCCAGGTGAAGGCTGTGTTCTCTATATATTGTAGTGAACTGGCCACAGATGAAGAGTGTCCTAACAGGAGGGACCACGTCAGGTACCTCTGTTCCTACACCCACAGCTTTGGGACTGGGTAACTTTCTAGTGGGGCTTCAGTAGGGTACTACAACTAGGGTGGACTGAATTGAGAATGGGGAGACTTGGAAATACCTCACCATGTTCACACCTCCTGAGAAGTCAGGAGAGCAGATGGAGTTCTGGATGGCCATGCCCACCATGGGCCCAGAGAATGAAGTAGCGCTGTGGGATCAAGGGGTCAGAGGTCAATGCCCAAAGCCAAGAGCAGGGCTTAGGGCTTCAGGTGAAGTTGAAGGAGGGTGAAACTGGCCAGGGAAGGGCAAGGTTAGCTGCCCGGGTCTTACGTCACCAGCTGGGCACTGTCATGGGGTAAGCGAGGGAGCAGCTCTGCCCGACGCCACTGAAGGAAGTTGTCTAGTGTGACACGTGGGTCCGAGCTTATCTCCACCAGGTCCACCTGGTTCCAGGCTTCCAGGCCCACTAGTGCCACACGTACATTCAGGGGCTGGAATAACTGAGAGAGAGCTGGGGCTCAGAAAGGGGATCTTGTGGTCAGAGGTCCGCAGAGAGGCTGCCCTGCCCAGCACTCACCATGTCCAAGAGGAGGGCCACTTCCAGGGTGCGGTTCACCAGGCGCTGGAAGTCTGGGTACCTCTGGACCTGTGGGCCAAGAGAGGTCACCATAAAAGACAGCCAGGCTGGCCGGAGGTGGGAAAGAACCTGTCAGGACGGTAGGCTCACCTCCGATCGGTCAGCTACAATCACCAGTTCAACAATTTTGGTCTCTGTCAACACATCTCGCCTCCACTATAGATAAGGAGAAGAAGGAGCATCAGCACACTCCACCGCTTACGCTGGTAGCTGTGTAGGGGTGACCAAGCTGTGTCCACACCCACCCTGGGTGGTCAAACAGAGATGGGGGTGAAGATCCCGTTCTACAGATGAACCACTGAGAGCCAGAGGCCAAGGACTTGCCCAAAGGTAGAGCAAAAGTAATTTATAAACTTGTGTGGAGAGCCGTACTCTTCCAGCTCCAAACTCAGTACTGTCTCCAAATTAAAAAACAACCGAGCAAAGAACTATGATAGAATAGTGAGTAACATATCAGGTGATATGATAATAGGCTGGCAGTTCAAATCCATCAGTGACTCCATGGAGAAAAGATGAGCAGTCTTCCTATAAAGGTTTACAATCTCAGAAACTCGATGCATAATAGTTTTGAGTTGGAAGTGACTCAAAAGCTCAAGGACTTGGTGTCCCTGGATAGTAGAAATGATTCAGTGGTTGATGGCTGACTGTAAGATTAGAAGTTTGCATCCACCCAGGGACATTTCCAAAGAAATACTGGATGTTCTGCTTCCAAAACATCAGTCATTGAAAACCTGAGGAAGCATAACGCTTCTTAGACATGCATGTTGTTGTGGTGGTTCCGTTTCACCGAATCAAGTATAACTCATAAAAACCCAGGAACAACAGTCCTGAACCCTGTCCTATCCTGTGTCATCTTCATCAAATCTGACAAACTTGAGCCCACTGCACCAGTCACTGTGTCTCATTGGCGGCCTTCCTTTCTTATACTACCCCTCCACCTTCCCAAGCATGATGTCCCTTTCTAAGGAATAGCCTCTCTTAACATGTCTAAAATATGAGAAATGGAACGTCATCATCTTTGCCTCCAAAGAGCACTCTGACTGCAGTTTTCCCAGGACATGATTGTTCTTTTGGCAGTCCATGGGATACTGAGTACTCTTCTCCAGCACCACAAATCAAAGGAATAAATTCTTCTGTCATTTTTATTCATGGTCCAGCTTTCAGATGTGTAGCAGGTGATTGAAAAGACCATGAACTGGACTGAGTGCACTTTAGCTGACATCATTGCTCTTAACTATTTTCTGACAGTGGACTTGCCCAATGCAATATGTCTTCTGATTTCCTGACTGCTGGGGCCAAGGGTGTTGATCCAAGCAAGATGAAATAATTGACAGAGTCTATCCTTTCTCCATCTATCATGATGTTGTCTGTTAGCCCTGTGATGAGGACCTTTGTTTTCTTGATACTGAGATGTTATCCATATGGAAGGCTGTAGTACTTGATCTTTTGCAATAAATGTTTCAAGTACTCTTCACTTTCAGCATGTGTCATCTACATAACGTAGGTTATAGATGAGTCCTCCTCCATTCCTGATACCACATTCCTCCTCATAGGCTGCCTTTTCATTAATTATTTGCTTAGCATACAGATTTAATAGTATGGAGAAAGGATACATCCCTGACACACATCCTTCCTGATTTTAAACCATGCTTTTCCCTTGCAAAGCAACAAATTATAACAAAATGTGCAAAAAGTTGAAGTTAGAGAATAAAAAGAAAAGAACTCTCAGCATTTCTCAAGCTGAAAGACCTTAAAAACAAATTCAAACCTCCAGTTACAATACTAAGAGATCCTAAGGGAAAAATCTTCAGTAAACTAGGAAGCATCTAAAGAAGATGAAAGGAATACACAGACTATACAAAAATGATTAATTGACACTAAAAAATTTCAGGAAGTACCACCATATTAACAATGGTAATGAAAGATGAAGCTCCAGATGTACTGAAGACATTGGCAAAAAGTGAGTCCCCAGGACTTGATGGAATACCAACTGAAAAGTTTCAACTAACAGATGAAGCCTTCTATGTGCTCACCAATGTATGCCAGGAAATCTGGAGGACAGCTGACTGGCCATCTCACTGGAGGACAGCTGACTGGAAAACTCACTGGAGGAGATCCATATTTGTTCCCATTCCCAAGAAAGGCAACCCAGTAGAACGTGAAAATTATCATTAATACCACATGCAGGCAAAATACTGCTGAAGATCTTGGGGAAAAAAATGGCTAGAACAAAACATTGCCATGGAACTTGCCAGTAGTTCAAGCTGGGTTTAGAAGAGGCCACAGCATCAGGATTATCACTGCTGTGTCAGATCAATCCTGGCTGAAAGCAGAGAATACCAGAAGAATGTCTAGGTTTTATTGACTATGGGATCACAACAAACTATGGCTAACATTGAGAAGAATGGGAATCCCAGAACACTTCATTGTGTTCTTGTGAAATCTGACACATGTGGGGTTGCCAAGAATTTGAGCTGATTTGAAAGTAACTGGATTATCCAATATTCACTACATGGAAAGCACAATCCTAAACACTTTACATCCATATAAACACTTTATATCCATTATCATTGAGTAGACTGCAGAATCAGAACCGCTACATAGTTTCCAAGGCTGTAAATCTTTATGAGAATATATTGCCTCATAATTCTCTTGAAAGTAACTAGTGAGTTTGGACCATCACCTGTTCAGTTAGCAGGCCAATGTTTAGCCTACAGAACCACAGACTTCAGATATAGTAAGTCTTCTGACAATTAGTCAGCAGTTCTAATCCATCATCTACCCTGTGAGAGGAAAGACAGTTTCCTCCTAAAAATTTACAGCCTCAGAAACTTGATAGAGGGTCATTATGAATTGGAATTAATCCATCAGCTCAATGGTATATATATATATATCTTAGTCTAGAAGTTCTGCTGAAACCTGTTCACTGTGGGTGACCTTGCTGATGTTTGAAAAGTTGGTGGCATAGCTTCTTGCATCAGAGCAACCTGCAAGTCATCCCAGAAGAGCAAAGTGACAGACAAGTGCTGTACCAATAAAAAAAGCAAACTTTGAACAAACAAACACACATAGTCACAGACTAGAAAATAAGCAACAACATGCAAGTCACCCTCTTATACAGCACAGACAAGTGCTGTATCCATAAAAGTGAACCATAAAACAAGCAAACAGATATATATAATAAAATAAACATCCTTGCTATGGGAAAGGTATATCAAAGATGTGTCCAGAGGTGAGGCATTCCTGGTAACAGCAGTCAAGAAATCAAAAGATGTTACCTGCAAAAAGCTGAAGCATCCCTCTCACCACACACAAAAATCAACTCAAGGTGGATCAGAGACCTAGGGGTAAAGCCCAAAACCATAAAGATCATAAGAAACAAAGTAGGACCAAGCTTAGAAGGCCAACCTCACTATATAAAAAGGCTGACAAATACAGCCATAAATACACAACCTTAAGAGGATAAAATTGACGAATGGGACCTTCTAAAGATTAAATACCTGTGCTCATCAAAAACATTTTCCAACTGAGTGAAAATAAAACCTATTGACTAGGGGAAAGGGAAAAAAACAACAAGATTTGGCAATACTATTTCAGACAAGGGTCTCATATCAAAAGTTTACAGAATCCTACAGGGCCTCCACAAGAAAAAGACTGGTAATCCAATTACAAAATGGGCAAAAGACATGGAAAGACTTTTCACCGAGGAAGATATTTGGATGGCCAGGAGACACATGAAGAAATGCTCAAAATCCCTGGCAATAAGAGAGATACAACTCAAAACTGCAATGACATAACCATCTCACCCCAGTAGTAAAAGTTTAACAGTACAGGAAGTAATAAATTTTGATGAGAATGTGGAGTGATAGGAACTCTTACACACTGTTGGTGGGATTGTAAAATGGTACAACCACTCTGGAAGGTAGTTTGATGTTTCCTCAAAAAGCTGAACATGGAAATTCTATATGACCCAGCTATTCCACTACTTGGAATATACCTTGAGAAAATGAGAACTAAGGCACAAATGGAGACTTGTATAGCCATGTTCATAGCAGCATTATTCACCATCACAAGAACATGGAAACAGCTCAGATGTTCAACGACAAGTGGATTGAGAAATTGTGGTATATTCACACGATGGAATATTACACAACATACAGGAGTAATGATTTTGAAAATCACTACATAACTTGGGAAAGCATTATGCTAAGTGAACTAACTCAGTCCCATAAGGACAAATACTGTATAAGACTATTATTGTAGAAATAAAGATAACTAGTAAAACATGTATGAGGATAGGAGCAGAGGGGTGAGGATGGGCAGGGGGTAATCACAGGGTTGCACAATTTGATGGGCAGAGGGAGAGGTAGGTAAAGGAAATGGGAAAGATCCAGTGTGAAGAAAAATGTATATGAACTTTGTAAGCAAACCAGTATAAAATAAAGGTTTTATTCAAAAAAAATCAAAAGATGAAAATATTGAAAAATACTGGTGCAATAATGTCAGTTTAAAGACTAAGGTGCACCTAATCTAAACAATAAAAATTTGGTATATTTTAATTGTCTCCTATGCATCTAAAAGTTGGACAGTTAATAAAGATGACAGAGAACTGATGCTTTTGAATTCTGGTATTGGAGAAGAGTTTGCCAGAAGAACAAACATTTCTGTCTTAAGGAAAGTGAAACCAGGGTGCTCCTTGGAGGTAAGGATGGAGAAACTTGGTCTCACATACTTTGGACATACTGTCCAGAGGGACAAGTTCTAGGGAGCTCTGGTGGCCTAGTGGCAAGAAGCTGCACTGCAACCCCAGAGGTGTGCAGTTCAAATCCACCAGGTGCTCTGCTGGGGAAGGAGGGGCAATCTCCTCCTGTATCGGTCAGATTTGATTTGATGGTACATGCACAAAAAATAATTTTAAAAAAATTTTAAAAAAAGAGGGACAAGTTCTTAAAAACAGACATGCTGGGAATGGTGGAGAGTCAGAAAAAGAGGAAGGCCCTCAACAGGATGGCTTGACACAGTGATTGTAACAGTGCTCAAGCATATCAGAGATCTTAGGATGATGTGGACAAAAGGACAATGTTCAATCTGTTCATAGAATCACTATGAGCTGTAGTCACCTCACTGATGCCTAATAACACGTATATATGAATATATATCTATTCATTTTAACCTTCACAGAAATTTTGTAAGTCGTTTTGAGGTTTTAAAAATCTCAGCTTTACAAATTAGAAAGCTGGGTTTTCATATTTTTATGACTCTTATTCCCATTGCTGTTAAGCCAAAACTGACTCATCGCTGACTCTCTAGTGAGCTTTCGGGGATGTAAATCACACACAGGAGAGATTTCTCATCTTTCTCCCAAGGAACAGCTGATCGATTCAAACTGCCAGAGAGGTGCCACCTTAGAGTTAGCAGTGAATACCCTACGGATTTCCATATCTAAGCAACAGTACTTTGTAAATAGCATCAGAAGCAAGCTGAAGAATTTGAGTGAAACACCTATGTAGGTACCATTAATTAGCTAGGTGACCTTGGACTTTGAGCTGGTTCCTCATCTTAAAATAGAGCTACTGATAGAACCTACCTCCTAGAGTTGCTAGGGAGACGAAATAAAATAATATTCACAAAGTTAAAGGAGTTGTAGTTACTCTTAACAAATATCTCAAAGCGTCCCGAGTCAGTCCTCCAAATGCTGGAGACCCAGCCCTCCTACGAGGCATCCTCACCCGATGAGAGTGGCGCTGGCTCCGGGGATGCTCTCGTGGAGTCCGGGTGGTTCCAGATGCACTCCAGCTTAGGGCACAGGTGTGACCTGGCAAGAGGAGGTTTTGGATCCGGGAAATAATGGGAGGACTTTGAAGGTCCCCAGGCCCCAGCTCCAGGGTATAGCTTCTCTCTGGAGACAGGACCACCAAGCCCCTAAGGAAAGATACAGGAAGTCAGAGAGCATTTCAGCTGCATTCCAGGTGCCTCCTCACTGTCTCCCCCTCCATGGCATCCACTCAGCATACCTGAGCCCTGAGCAGGTGCAGATAGACACCCAGGAGTGTGCATGGCCTTGCACACTTCCTTGGTAGCAGCAGTTTTCCTACAGTGGAGAAAGAACATTAATGTGACTAAAAACACAGGTGATGATCAAGCCTAGAAGTCTAGGATAGTGGCGAACTAATGCACTGTCTTTGCGCATCCTTCAGGGATGACACCCCCAGTGGCACCTCCCCTTCCTCTAGGTTAGGAACAAGGCAAAGGAAGTCGGACTCACCAAAGTATGTCCCTCACTCTCCACCCTGGTGCCATCTGGCTGGTACCACACCAGGGTTGGGTGACCTGGGACCAACTCTCTGCAGAATAGAGGAAAAGGAAGACAGTGTCAAGGCCACCTCCGGGATGGTGCAGTGACAGGCTTGGACATTTCCACATTCCCCAGGAGCAGAAAAGCATAGTGACTGGATCACACACTGCCAGGCCTATCTGGACCCCAATCTGGATTTTGTCACATAAGCTGTGTTACTTTGGGCAAGTTTTTAAACTCCTCTGTGCTTTGACATCTTTGCATATAAATTGAGGAAAATAATATAGTGATAATAACAACAGTCTCTCCCTTATGTGGTTTTTATGAGGATTAAATGAATTAAAGCATTTAGTATCCAAACCAAAACTAAACCCACTGAGTTTTTCTGACTCATAGCAACCCTATCATGACTCTCCAGGACAGAGTCAAACTGCCCCATATAGTTTTCAAAGTTGTAAATCTTTATGGGAGCTCCCTGCCTCATCTTTCTCCTGGAGAGCAGCTTGTGGGTCCAATCACTGACTTTTTCAGTTAGAGCCTCACAATTAATCCACCAGGGCTCCAACTTAGAACCTAGCACATCAAAACCAAGACCACAGCCATCTAGTCGACCTGATAATGCCCCCACCAGGTTTCAGAGGCTGTAAATCTTTGTGGGAGGAGGCTGTCCATCTTGCTGATGAGCCCCTGATGGATTTGAGTTTCTACCAACACAGTCTGTAAGATACTAGGCCACCACAGCTCCTTACCTAGCATGTAGTAAATGCTGTATACCTCGTCAGCCATGTTGTTATTATAATGAGCACCACCATTAGTATCTACCTGTTCCGTAGCAGCTCCAGAATATGAGTCTCGCCGTCCAGCTCCAGTTTGATCTGTAGGGCCTCGGGCAGACTCATCTGTGGGCACCAGAGGGTACGTCACCTCCCTGGCCCTGCCCACAACTCCTACCCCCTCTAACAGAAAACCTCACTCTCTCAGGAGAGCACTAAAGATTAGATCACTGGTGGGGGAGGATCCTGAGGGAGGGGCCAGGAAGCCCTGCCTGGCCTGGGACATTGTTCTGGGGGCTTGTGTGGGGAGGTCAAGGAAGGTATCTGAGCCGCCCCTTCTCGGCTTCCTGCCCAGAGAGGAAGTATTGTGGAAGACCCATTGCAGGCCCCGGCCCTTCCTCTGACTCAGCTTTAGAATGCAGTGGTGGGGGGAGGCCCTGAACCCTCTCCAAGAAGTATCCCCACTGAGAACCAACAACATGAGACTAAATTTGGCCTCGAAATTTCCCCAGTGGAGATGGATGGTTTGGGTGGGGCAAAAGCAGACAGATGTGTGTGCTGAGGGGAGAGGGAGGTAAGTGAAGCCAGGTGTTGGGGTGCAATGGGAGAGTAAGCTAGACATTGCATGAACCTGCTGCAATGGGGTCCACTCACCCCGCTCCTCAGCCAGGTTTGGCTTTGAGACACCTGATTGTAGAGGTGTGGAGATGGGGGTTGGGGGTGTGTGTCTGTGTCCTTTTACAGAGGAGAGGCTCACCTGAAGCACCTCTTCCAGGCTGAACATGAGCTTGTCCTGAAGGAGCTGGAGCTCCAGGGGGCCACTCAAGACCCTCTGTGGTCTCTCTTCCTCCTCAGTGCCACCTGCAAGGTCCCCAGAGCACCCCAAGAGAGGGCTAAGAGCATCAACACCAGGGCTGGGGGTGGCTGGTCCCCTCACATCCTGTCTCCCAATATGTCCTAGCTGTCTGAAGGGCCCTGGCTCCTGAATACTAACTTCAAGAATGGGGAGCGGGAGGGGGCTTCTCTGCAATTCATTCCCTTTCAGCCCGTCAATTCATCCTTATAGTCCTCAGATAAAGAAACTCAGCCTGTGACCCCCCCAGTCCCACCCGGGCCAATCCCAGGTTCTCACAGGAACCCTCCCCCTGTCCCCACTCCCTCCCAATCCCCCCAAGGAACGCCTTCTCTCTGGACTGGGCAAGTCTTGTGGCTGGATGCCCACTCACCCTCCTTTCCCTCACATTGGAGATGCCGGGAACGCCCATTTCTGGGTGAGCAGTGCAAACACTCTCACCTCCCTAAATACCCCTATGCCCAGTCAGGCACACCCGCTCCCCACAGCCTCCGCTTCCTCCCAGAGTCCCCCCCCTCCCCACCCTCCTCAATGGCCCTGTCTCCTCCGGACACTCCACCCCCGCCTGCCCTCTCGGCCCCTGGCCCAAGACAGCAGCGGGAAGTGAAAGTTCCAAGGAGGAGCTGGTGTCACAGCCTCTTTCCTGGCCAATTCTCCCCTCTCCGGGCTCCTCCCGGTACCCCCTGCCTGCCCAACTCTCCTTCTAGGGGCATCAGCCTGAGGGTGATGGGTGCTTGGACGCCCAGGCCTGAGATGAGGGTCCGGGAAGAATTTTCTTCGCCAAACCCTATGAGCTGTTCCCTCTCAGCTGTCAGGCACCGGGTGGAGCTGTCAACTAGGCCCCAGAGGAGCAAACATCACTTCTAGGGAGCATCACCTTAACTCCCATGCTCGAAATGGGTCTTTGGCTAGGCCCTTTGGAGTCTGGCACCGGAGCCTGAAAGTGTCCACGGCATCCACGCAGATAACCGACACAGCGCAGAGTACTGGCATCTCCCTCCTTCTCTCCATCTACCAGTCGCCTATCTCTCTGACTGGGACAACGCACCAGGGCGGGCAGTCTTCTTATCGGACTCTTCTAAGGTCTCCGTCTCCGACACCCTCGCCTCCCTACTGCCCCACTCCTCCTCCCAGTCTACCTCCGGCCCAGTTCTAGGCGAGACTTACCTCTATTTGGGACCAGCCTGGAAGGCAGGGAGCTTCCCGCGCCCAGAAGCCCCAGCGCCCAAAGCAGCGCCAGCCGCATGGCAACGGCGGCCGGGGCCGGGCAAGGGCAGCAGGTGCGGGGCCGCGCGCCGACGAGCCCAGGCGGCCGGGTCTGCTCGGAGCTCCGCGCCGGGCCGAGCATCCACCAGGCTCCGCCCAGCCCCCTCCGAAGACCTGGTGCCAGGCTCAACCCCCGCCTAAGCTCCGCCCCATGAGGGCTCAATCCCCGCCCCGGCCGCGAGCTTGCTGAACTGAGTCTCCGCCCACAAGGCCAGCTCAGCTGGTGCTGTGCCTCACAGCCTCTTAGACTTCTGCAGCTGCGCTGGGCGAGAGTCGCGATTAGCAGCTGACGCCCGGTCCGACCGGCTTGGGCGTCACGCCCTAAACCTACCCGAGTCCCAGCCCTTTCCTAGCAGCTTTGCTTAGCCCCCTTCCTCGCCTCCGCCGCCTGGCCCTCCTAACTGCCACTTAAGACAGCAAACATCTAGTTCACCCCAGTGGAGACCTCCCGCGAACCGCCGCCACCAAGAGTGTACAAAGCATTTTATTAAACATCAAGAAGCAGTCTGAGAAAGTGGGTTACCCCATCACTCAGCATAGGTAGCGTCGTCGTCACTGTCGCTGAAGGCAGAGGAGGAGAGTTCCTCGCGAGGTGTGCAGGCTGGGCACTGCTGCCGCATGTCGACCCAGCATGATTGGCAGTACACAGTCTCGCAGCCCGCCGTCGGGCACACGTAGGACTCGGGCTTCTCGGGTGCTAAACACACCACGCATCGCCGGCGCAGCCAGAGGTGCAAGAGAGGGCAGCATCGGTGCAAAATGTCAACCAGGTGGTGGCGCTGTTTGGAGAGAAGGAGACCTTAGACCCTTTCGGAAAGCAAACTGAGAAGGCATTACTGTTGTTAGGTGCCATCGAGTTGATGAGTCATAGAGACTCTATGAACAACGGATCTGAACTTTGCTCTATCCTGTGTCATCCTCATTATCTCTGATATGCTCGAGTCCATTGTCACAGTCACTGTGTCACTCAATCTTATTGAGGGTCTTTCTTTCCTTACCTAACCCCTCTACCTTTCCCTACATGCTGTCTTTCCAAGGACTGGCCCCTCCTAACAACATGTTCAAATGTGAGGTGAAGTTTCACCTTCCTTGCCTCTAAGGAGGCATTGCTAGGGGGGCTGAAAGTGCTCTGCTTCAGAAATCTCAAGACCTGACTGTGCCATGTTGGAAGAAACTGAGGTGAGCAAAGAGTTACTCTGAATGAGGAAGGGTTCTAAGGAGGTTGATCCTAGAGAATGCTCCTCCCCCACTGTCACGTGGTGGAGAGTGGGAGGATGCAACCTCTACACTGTCAAAGCCAATATCAGCAACGGCTATCGTGCACACTTTCCCATAAATCAATCATCTTATTTGGTTCTCACCTTCAAACTGAGAAGTGTGTAAGGGCGATAAGGCTATCATTATTGTTATCCCTACTTTACAGACGAAAAAGGTGAATCTCTGAAAGATGATCTGATTTCCTCCAAAGCATGCAGCTAGTAAAGGATCAAATGATTGGATTCAGGTACCCCGAGTACAAATGAGTAACTATGCTCTCGCCCCTACCCTCTCTGTACACAATTGCCAGACATTTTTTTCTACTTATCAGGTCACTCTCTTACCCAGAAACTCCAGGGGCTGCACTGCCTTATTAGACAAAGGCAGGACTCGGTTTGTCCTTTAGAGCCTCCTGTGATCTAGTTCTTTCTACCATCTGTTGTTGTTAGGCACCATCGAGTCTAATCTCTACTCAATCTTAAGTAAATCAGCAAACTAGATTCTGACTAATGTCCCAGATCAGAACTGTGCTCTATAGTGCTATCATAGCTGTGGTCTTTCAGAAACCAATCACCAACCCTTTTTCTGAGGCACCTCTGATTCTCTGCCAGTGAGTGTCTTAAAATGTAAATTTTTGCACTACCCAGGGATTATTTTTTAAAATTTTTTATTTTTATTTTATTATTTGTGTGTACCGTCAAATCAGATCTGACTGGTACAGCAGGAGATTGTCCCTCCTTCCCCTGCAGAGCACCTGGAGGATTTGAACTGCACACCTCTGGGATTGTAGTGCAGCTTCTTGCCACTAGGCCACCAGAGCTCCCCTACCCAGAGATTCTTTATGCTCCAGTTTACCTATCCCTGAATGCCACCTTCTCTATGATGTTTTCTCCTTAGACTAACCTTGGCACTTGGCCCTTTGATCTAAGTCTTTGCACATTTCCCCCTCAGTTTCAAATGAATGTCTTTCACATTTTCTCCTCATTTGCTCATTTCAGTATAGAAAAAAAAAAAACCCCAAAAAGCCTTATCACTGGACCAATAGACAACATCATGATGAAGATTCAAGTTGTCAATCATTTCATTTTACTTGGATTCATAATCAATACCCATGGTAACAGCAGTCAAGAAACCAAAAGAAGGGAGCTCTGGTGGCCTAGTGGCAAGAAGCTGCAACTACAATCCCAGAGGTGCACGGTTCGAATCCACCAGATGCTCTGCCGGGGAAGGAGGGGCAATCTCCTCCTGTACCAGTCAGATCTGATTTGACGGTACACGCACACAAAAATAATAAAATAAAATTTAAAAAAAATCAAAAGACATGTTATAGTAGGAAAACAGATTTTCAAGGACCTCTCCAAAGTGCTAAAAGAGCAATGATGTCAGTTTAAAGTGCACTGGATCCAACTCATGATCTTTTCAATTGCTTCCTATGCATCCAAAAGTTGGATAATTAATAAGGTTGACAGACAATTGATGCCTTTGAATTGTAGAGTTGGAGAAGAGTACTGGATATCCCATGGACTGCCAAATGAGCAAAGAAATCTGTCTTGGACGAGTACAATCAAAGTGCTCCTAAAAGGCAAGGGTCGTGAAACTTTGTCTCACATACTTTGGGCATGTAGTCAGGAATGGTCACTCATTGTAAAAAGACATTATGTTGGGGAAAGTGGAGGGTCAGAGGAAGAGAGGAAGACTCTCAACAAGATGGATTGACACATCCAATTGGTATCTGAAAAGATGGGGTAATAGTAGGCATGGATAAATGGTGATTAATTTTTTTATTATTATTTTTTTTTGTGGGGGTACTGCCAAACCAGATCTGACTGATTGAGGAGGAGATTGTCCCTCCTTCTCCAGCAGAGCATCTCGTAGATTTGAACTGCACACCTCTGGGATTGCAGTGCAGCTTCTTGCCACTAGGCTACCAGAGCTCGCCAATGGTGATTAATGTTATAAAACACAATGTATAGAAGTGATCATTTGAAATGCAATGTAAATGAAGAAATGTGTGAAACACAATGCAATGTATAAAATGTTTGTATGCAAACCAATATAAAGTGGGAAAAAAAAGATGGATTGACAAATGACTTTGAAAATGGACTTGAGCATGTCAAAGACTGTGAGGATGTCCCAGGACAGGACAACATTTAGATCAGGCGTTCATAGGGTCACTATGCGTCCTGGTTGACTCACTGGCACCTAAAATAGCATTGAAATCCAGCTGATTTCAGGATCAAGTCACAGGATCACAACATGTTTGGTTTCCACTAGATATTCCTTCTATCTCTACTATGTACCCTGAGGGATCTTATAATTCAGGTACAGAAGCGAAAGGTGAGCAAAACACAATTTCACTCTTACAAGCTTTGTATTAATGGATTAAATAAGTATGGCAGCCATTCAGTGTTCTGTTTACACTATTGGGTCCTGTACTAGAACTGGATGAATTCCATCCAAACAATAACCATATAAAGCAGAAAATATCATCTCTCTCTGATGAGAAAACTGACACTTGAAAAAATGGACACCTACCCAGGTCACACAGTGACAACCAAGACATATATAGCATTTGCTTGCTACATGCCAACACCTGGGAGTGTTTTATGTGTCTGTACTAATTTATGCCCTGGTGGTCTAGTGGCAAGAAGCTGCACTTTAATCTTGTAGGCACGCAGTTCGAGGCCACCAGCTTCTTCAAAGGAGAAGGATGGGCAATCTCTTCCTGAGTGATTAACTGCCTCTGAAAACCCGCTGGAGGGTCAGCTACGTGTTGGCTCCAACTCTACAATACACAACAACAACAACGACAACTCCTTTATGCCTTGGAACAACCAGATGGAGTACTTAACTCCATTTTTCAGAAGGGAAGGACCAAGGCACGGAGGTTAAGTAGCATATCCAAAGTCACAGAGTTGTCATTGTAGTAAAAAGAGGAGCCAGGACTCAAACCCAGATTCTCTGGTGCCACAGCCCCACATGGAACCACCACATACACTGCTTTTAGTGAGAAGGCCTGACAGGTCTGTTCTTCCTACCATTTCCATATGCCATGGGCCCTTGACAAGGCTTTCTTGAGCTCAGCCGTCCTGTCTTCTCTCTCCTGTGAACCACAGGCCTCTCAGGGGCATCTGTGGCTTTGCCTTGAAACCCTCTCCCCCTGCTTCTTGTGAGCTCTTTACTGTCCTCTGACCAGACTGGAAGAAGCCTGATCCCCGGTGTCTGCCTGCTGCCCAGTCACCTGATGAGGCTCTCTGGGCTGGATTCAGGGGTACAGAGAGGAAGGGACCTAACCCTGGATGACAGCATATGAGTAGGGGCCTTGGCATCCATCACTGAACTCACTGAATTCACATAGGCCTGGGGCCTTTGGTAGCCATGGATGGACTGAAGAGAGATGTCCCCTCTCCTCCAGCTCTCAGGCCTGGACTTACCGGAGCCCTCTGCTGCTGTGCCCGCCTCACAATGGCCGCCCTCCTCAGTTTCGTGAAGGCTTCTCTCTTCCTCAGCAGCTCATTGTAGAAGAACAGGACACGCTTCTTCTCTCGCTGAGGGCAGGAGAGGTGGTCTGTGATAGCGATAGTGCAAAGGATAAAATACATCCCTATCCAAAGTACTGAAGAGCAGTGATGTCAGTCTGAAGACTAAGGTGTGTCTGATGCAGGCCATAATCTTTACAACCACTTGCTATGCATTAGAAAGCTGAACAATGACTAGAGATGATAGGAGAATTGATGCCTTTGAGCTGTGGTGCTGGAGAAGAGTATTGAATATGCCATGCACTGCTAGGAGAACAAACAGGTTCATCTTAGAGAGAGTGAGACCAGGTTGCTCCTTGGAGGCAAGGATTCTGAGGCTTCCTCTGACATACTTTGGACATGTTGCAAGGAGGGACCGGTCCTTGGAGAGAGACATCATGCTTGGGAGGGTGGAGGGAGAGTGCAGGAGAGGAAGACTCTCGATGAGATGGATTGATTCAGTGACTGAGGTAATGGGGGTAGGTGTATCAGAGAAAATAAAATTGGCACAGTATAGTGAAGAGTTTAAGGCTGTTGTACATAGGGTCACTATGAGTCACAGGCAACTCGGCGGCACATAACAACAACAACAACATCATCCAAGAGGACAGGGTTGATATGGAATTAGGGGTGTGTGTGTGTGTGGGGGAGGTCTGAGGAGCACACCTTAGGGAAGTAGAAAGCTGCAATGACCCTCCGGAGTCGGTAGCCAAAAGCCTGGAGCAGGCAGAGGCACACCAGCAGGCCACTTGGTAGTGCAGCGCTGAGGTAGGCCTTGGCATCCATGCTCTCTGGCTGGGGCAGACAGGCTGCAGAGTGGGCGCAGAGAAGGGGGGACAAAGCTATATGGGGTCTGGCCAGGGTCAGCCAAAGGATGGGGTTGCCCAGGGCTGGCCTTCTTGACTGTGTAGGTTTGACCTCTGATCCCCTGGTTCTCCTGCCTGGACAGTGTCAGATAACCTAGCAGAAAAGGGAAGCACAGCTTACTTGTGCTTATGTACTCATTTAGTGTAAACAATTTCTCTCTTTTTTTTCCCACATCAAAGATTCCGCTTCGAGGTATGGCTGGCAACTTTCTCTGTCCCAAATGCACAGCACCTTCCTATAGACTCAAAGCCTCTTCTCAAATTCACAATCTCTGACAAGGACGAGAGTTCTCAGGAAACAAGGTATGCACAGATTCATACTCACTGATCGTCAGTGAACAGGTTCACATGAGATCAGACCCACGTGAAGCTGTTCATTGCAGATTAGCATGTGAGCACCAGCACATCAGTGCTTCCCTCGCTTAGTGGGCAGTGAACCCCCATGCCTGTCGCTAACCTGCCAACACTGCCAATATGGAAGGCGGCCACAGAGCAGGCACACAAGCCCATGCACTCCGTGAGGCACGGATCTAGAAGGTAAGTATCATGGCAGAAAGTCCTGTTAGACAGCAATGCCCCGCAAGACTGGAATCCCCACTCTCTGACCTCAGGACTCTAGTCCACAGACTCTTCTGACCCAAGCTCGTCATCCTCTGCTTCTCAGCCTGCCCGCCCCCTGGTTTACTCACCTAATGCCCAGTGATGTCCAGCTCTCCACACTCAAACCCAGTCTCCCAACTCTTTACTTTGGAATCCTCTGCCGGCCCTTGGCCCCAGCCCTCGGTTCTCTGATCCCGATTTTCAGCATCACCTACGCATGTTATTTGATTCCACCACCGTCTCTGAGGAGGTGTTCAGGGCCCCAATGGTTTTTCGAAGAAGCCGGGCGAGCATGGAATCTCCTTCCACCTTCACCTCCAGTTTATGACTGCCTGAAGTCAAGAATGGGACCATAGGAGGAGGATCAGGAAGAACTTGGGGCTACGTGGAACAGGAGGGAGGCTGGATGCAGGGGAGAGGTCCAGGTGGAATCCCTATTACTTCTCTGAATCAACTCCTCTTTGTAGAGTGGGGACAGAGGTCCCAGTGACAGATCCCAGGTTGAGATTTGGCCCCGGGAAGGGCTGAGTCAGAGAAAGGGAGCCGAAGAAACAGAAAAAGGAGACAAAATGAGAATTTTGGTGAGGCAGCTGGGCAGGGTTGGAGCTTAGAGTGGTGTCTCATGGGACTGAGCTGCACACAGGGTCTGGAGCCCAGAGAGGGGGTGACTCACTGCGGAAGGAGTACTGTAGGAAGGAGTGGTGGCGGATGGTGTTGAAGATGGAGAAGAAAGCCCAGTCTAGCCCACACAGCAGCAGCAGCAGCAGCAAAACCGGCACCGACTCGAGCAGCTCCCTTACCTACCAGAGGAGCAGGCGCGGGGTCAGGGTAGTGCTGCCTGCTTGCGGCCTTGCCCGCCGCCCTGCGGTGCGTGCCCCACACCCTCCTCACCAAGTTCTTCATTTCTGAGGCCTGGATCATGGGCTTGCAGGGAAAGATGACGGTTTTTTCCTCAGCTTTGCGGAGAGGCAGCAGGCTCCGTTTGCCCTGGAGAAAGATGTCCACACAGTGAGGACCCTCCCAACCCCCAGCTCTGCCCCCTTTTCCCTTCTGGATGGTGAAGCCCACGCAGGCCACGTGCAGGGCGCCCTGGGGCAGGGCGGTGCTCACTCACTAGCTTCTTCCTGCGCTCATCAATCTGATGGAAGTAGGTGCTGATGTAGATGTTGTCAAAGCGAATGTCTTGGTTATACTTGTCCATGTAGGAGAAGGACCTGTGGATGAACAGACAGGGATGTCTCTAATTCTTACTACAAGTTCTCTTCCATCCACACCGACCCTGGGCTTCCTTGAGGTACAGCTAGTCTTTTGTTTAGCTGGCCAGATTTTTTAACTGAATGCCATTCAAGTCCCAAGCACTGTGCTCAGGGATGATGAGAGGAACACCCCCTCCATCAGAATGCAGTCGGTGGAAGTAATACAGCTACACGACTGGGGAGACAGGCCGGGGTAAGGAGAAGAGCTCAGAGGAGGGCAGGGCTAGCCTGTGTGTGTAAGTGTAGGGTTGTGTGGGTGAGGGAGGGGAAGGCTTCATCAGCATGGACCCTGCAGAGTGAATATAAAGCAGAGGAAACAGCAGGAGCAAAGGCACAGCCAGTGACAACCTCTCAAGGTTGCAAGAATCACCTAACCCACTGCGATTCCTATATTCACCTCTGAGAGTGTCTGCCTCTCAGCTGAGCCTGCAAAACACCTCCTGGAGGTCACCTCAAGCAAAACTCATTCCCATCCCTATGTCCTTTCTCCTCTGACAGACTCCTGCTCCTCCCAGGCTCCCCTCGGAGCCCCACAGCGTCTTACGGTGTGTGTGTGTGTGTGTGTGTGTGTGTGTGTGTGTGTGTGTGTGTGTGTGTGTGTTTGGGTGTGCGTTGTGTGCCTAGCTGTCCTCCAAGTATCTCCAAAGCCCTAACATAATGCTTCAGTTATTTAAAGAAAAAAATGCTCATTGTTGGACATGTGTTCAGAACTGTAAAAGGACATGGACTAAGCTGCTATGTAGGCTGTTTAACTTCCAATGCTATTAGATTTGGGGATCCAGGGAAAATCCGCGACCTTGCCTTTAAGATAGAAATGTAAAGATAGACTGTGAGCGCCCCCTGGTGGAGTGACCTACAGCAGTAGCTCCTGGGCCTCCTGAGTCCTGACTCCACCCACTGGCCAGCTCGACCTCTTCAGTGAGTGGCCTGGAGGGTGAAAACCTGGAAGTGCCTTTTGACTCTGTCTCCTTTTCTGCCCTCCCCAGGCTGGCTCTGACACGTGCCACACCTTCCTCCTTCTTCCTTCCATTTCAGGTTACCTTCTCGCCACGCCCCACCACAACCAGGCACCTGACCCCCTGACCCAGTCATGCTGCCACCACCCAAGCTCAGGCTCTCCTGAAGGACTTTCTAGATTGTTCTGGCCATGACCACCCTCAGCCCAGCCCTCCACTCCTCGTTCTCTACACTCCACAGAGGCAAGACCTTTGCCCAAAAGAATTTCCTTTCCCACCCCCTTTAGCCTCACCACCCCATCTGCAACCATGGGAGCTGAGCCAGACCCTCCAGTAGCTCTAGGAAGAAATCCTGGTGGCACCGTAGTTAAAGCACTCAGCGGCTAAGCCAAGGATTGGTGGTCTGGGAGAAAGAGCAGTCGGTTTCCATAATGTTTTGAAAACCTTATGGGACAGGCTCACTGAGCTGAAATTGATGCAGCAGATGTGAGTGTGGATTTTGGTTTTTTCAGGAGCCCTGGCTCTGGAAGCCCCTTCTCAGCTCTCACACTGTCTCCACAGCCAATCCATAGAACAGCCCTTGAAACCTTGTTTTGTAGGTTCTCTGTTGCCTTCAGTACCTTGGGTGGCAAAACCAGGCAAGCATTTGACTACTAACCAGAAGACTGGGAGGTTCCAACCTACCCAGAGGTGTCTTGTGAGGTGTGCTGATCCGCTTCTGGGAGTTAGGGTTCTACTCTGCTCCCCCTCCCGCCCATGTAAGTCAAAATTAACTTGACAGCAGTTGGGTTTTGATTCCTGTGTTTGCTCTTGTCTCTCCAACTAGACCACGAGCTTCCTGAGGGCAGGGCTTTGGCTCCTTTGTCTTTGTCCCCTCCCAGGGTTCCAGGTGCACACACAGCCCTGTGGTCACTCCAGGCCCCACAAACAGAAGCCAACAGAGCACCAACCCCTATGACTGCCCTCACCCGGCCGCTGCCCAGATTGGGCATTTGGGGTGGAGATGGCAACTAGAGGGTCCAGAGGTCAGCAGGGGTGCAGGAGCAAGGCCATGGGCAGCCCAGCTGGACGCCAGGCTGGGTGGGGTTGAGGACTTTGGTCCAAAAGGAGGGAAAGTCGCTGCCAACGCAGCAGGCGGGAGAAAATGAAAGCAAAATTGGACGATAAAAATGGCACAAAGTCAGAGCCAAGGGGAATATGAAGGGCAAGAAAAAAAATCCAAAGTCAAAGCTAAATGTAAAAAAGAAGTCAGCGTTGGGATAAAAAAGTCAGCGATGGGATAAAAGCTAGACTGAGGTAGACACATGAAGACAGGCCGCCCTTTCAAGGTGCTGGAGACACGGGTAACATTTCTTCCTACAAAATGTTCATGTTTCCTTTTTTCAATTTTGTGTAAACAGTGAACCCCACTTTATAAAAAATGCAAAGTTGAGAGCAAACATTTGGATTCAGAGTAGGGAAGAGGTTTTGCAATTCCATTCTGGAAGCTTCTCTCAGGGCAGGGTTCCTGTCTGGCTCAGCATGGAGAGGGCTTAGATCTTAGATCAGGGGAGGGGCTGCTGGGTGGAGGCTCCTGACTCACCCTCGTAAGACCAACAGGAAGGTGCAGGAGAGCAGCACCTGCAGCAGCCCCAAGGTCCACTCGAGCCTGGCCTCCTGGGTGCGCACATAATTCCTCGCCTCGGTACTCACGTGCTCCCAGCTGGTGTTGAGGCCCAGCACTGTAGCCTGTTTCTTTTCCTGGGGGATGCACAGGGCCAACTCATGCCGCAATGCCTGGCCAGACCTGGTCTCTGCATGACGTCCCAGTCCTGTCCCTTGATCTTCCAAATCTTCCGGAACTGTTGCTTCCTTCCTCTTGCCACCCTCCTTGACTTGCTCCCCCATCAGCTGAGCTCATCTCAGTCCCGGCTATCCATTTAGTGCCAAAGCCAAATTCATGAAGACTCAATACCATCCTTTCTTTCCCATCCAACGGCATCACTTGGCTCAATGCTATCCCCACCCTGTTCCTCTTCTCACACTTAGTCACCTGTTTCACCGGCCTGTATTCACGCCCTACCAGCACCCCCACATGTGCCCCCAACTCCTTACCTTTAGGTTAATACTGGCTGAAAATTCCCCAGCCAGACTATTAATAGACTGGTTGAGTGAGTCGTAGGTCTGCCCAAAGTTGCCTTCCACTGGGATGCGATTCTGACACCAGATCTCCATCACTGGTGGCAGTGTGAAGCCAAGTCAGGGGCCTCTCCCATCTGACACCCCCCCGCCCCCCAGGCCTGGGCCCAGCTGGCCTGCTTCCCTTCCCATGATCCTCCCCAATTCTGTTTCTGTCTCTCTGCTCATGACTTTTCACCACACCAACTATTTCTCATCTCCACTGGCTGGGATTCTTCCTTTCAGGAGCAAGACCTAATTTCCCTGCAATTTTCTCAGCTGCCCATCACCATAACAAATACTAATGATGATAGCCAGCATTTGTACAGCGACTCTTCTGTGTGCCAGCTGTTACCTGCTTCACGTGCATTATCCTCTTAAATCCTCAAACCCCCTAATGGGATAATGACTGCTATTTTACCCATCTTTCAGACAGAGAGGCATAGCTCAGAGCTTTTCTGTGTAACTTACCTTGGGTTGTGCCAGTCAGTGGAGGTGCTAGGCTCTGAGAGTGAGGGCCCCTTCAGAGCATCTAGGCTCTCTGCTTGATTGCTTTCCTACCACATATCTGCGCTCTTTCTCTAAGGATCCTAGTCCCCCAGCCCCGGCGCCCCCTACCCTTGGCAATGGCACAGAGGAACTTGAACTTCATGGGCAGGCAGAGCAGGTGGTTGAGCAGTGGGACCCACACGCGTTGCATGCACTGTTCATGCTTTAGGTTAAACCACTGATGGCAGCGGAGCATGGCCTTGTTCACCACATCTGAAGGAAGAGCCAAGAGGTGTCCGAGATCTCCACACCTTGGCCTGGAACCCTCACCTCCTGCACTGCCCAACCCACCCAAGGACATCCTCTCACAGGAGCAACGCAGCTTGGTCTTCAGCTCGAACATCTTCTGTGTGGAGTAGAAATCTCTGAAGGACGGGACCCGGCGGGCCTCTACGTCTTGAGCTGTTTCCTTTGAGTCTGGAGCATCCTCTGGATTGAAACCTGCCTCACTTTTCACCTGGGCATCAAGGTCCTTGAAGGAGTTGGAGATGTTGAGAGCCTCGGCTTTCAAGGAATCTCTGCTGCCCTGAGGTTGGTGAGGAAGAGACTGAAGAGCTGCGGAGTGCCATTCTCATGGTCTGCCCTCCTCACTCAGCTAAGCTCTGAGTGCCTACCCCAGGCCTGCAGGGAGTCTAGGCCCCAAGACGTAGCCACTCACCTCGAATTCACCTCTGTTCACAGTCCTACGGAGCCATCTCCATTCCCAAGTTGACTCATCTAATGCCCATGCCTCTCTCCACCTGCCAACTTCAGAGACGCTCAGCTCCTCCCAGGCTTCCAGAGCTTTGTGGGTCACTGATTGTCCAGATCCTTAGATTTCATCCCCCTCACTAATCTCTCTGACCACCATGTCATCTCAATGCCTTTGGTGCCTAACCCTCTCCGCCTGATCTTCCCAACTCTCCCAATCTCTAGTCTTCCAAGACTCAGTTCCTTAATCCTCTGGCCTTCAAATTCCCTTGGAACTCCTCAAGGCCAAGGGCCTCAGTTTTCTGGAATCCTAGTTCAACTACTCAGACACAGTAGGACCCATCTAGGTGTTTGGAAATGTATGTGAGGAATTCCAGGTTGTCTCAATGAATGGGAGATTCTCCTGGCATTTAGTGTCCAGGGACAGGACAATTTCTGGAATATTAGAGGGGCCAGTCCTGCAAAAATGCCCTATTGGGAAGTAGGGTCCTAACTCCCCATATTTAGTCATCCTGGCCCTTGGGAAGAAGCCTCATGCCCAATTGGGGTCCTGACCAGCAGGTCCTTGAACACTGTCCGCAGAGGGGCCGTGGAGGTGTGCCAGGCCGCCCGAGTGTTGTTGATCTGCAGCTCCACAGTACAGCCCAGAGATGCTATCACCTCGTTGAGGTTGTAACGCAGGTTGGCCGCTGGCCCTGGGGGAAGAGGCCTGGTGAGAGCTCTCCTCCCAGAAGATGCTCTGCAGCCTGCCTCTAGCCTACACTCTGCAGCAGCTACCTTCCCCATGTCTACATCCATCTCATTGCCCTTCAGCTGGAATCAACTCATAGCTGACCCTTTAGCCCATTCCTGATACTGCAAATTAATAGTAGGAGACTGCTCATCTTTGTCTCATGGAGCCATTGATGGATTTGAACCACCAAACAGGCCTTTGGGTTAGCAGCACAACTCCTTACAGATAATACCATCAGAACTTCCCTCTAAAACCGCACGGTGGTGGAGCTGGAAAACCTCGTTCAAATGCACCTTTTCTCACATGTGCAAATGAAGGATGCTCAGAAACAAGGAGGAACCTCGACACATAGCAGTTGGAGCAGCCAGGATTAGAACCTGCATCCCTCTCTTCCCACCTTTCTCTTTCACCAGGTCTGACTTCCATTGAATGGGTCACTTGTTAACTAGCATCCAGGAACATACACTCACCTTCATAGATGGCGGCCAAGGCATAGCCCAACAAAAAGAGCCTGCCCTCTTTACCCAACATCTTAGGTATCATCAGGGCGCTGGCACAGCGGATGTGAGGGGAGGTCCCCCAGCCCATGGCACTCAAGCCTGTCAGGAAAGCCCAAGGGGAGGGGCAGGGTGAGGATGCTGCCTTGCCCACCAGACCCAGCAGAGCACCCACCTGACACAATTCCTTCTGGAACCCTCACCCTCCTGCCCTTGTCTCCATTTACATAGACCTGATAAGAGGTCTGACAGTCCTTCTAGTCCCATTATTCATTCATTCGTCATCGATTTCATTCAATAGCTGATGTACATCATTCAGCTGTGTGCAGGGGGCAGAGAAATGGCTAGAGCTTGAAAAGTCACGATTGGTGCTTGTCTTTGGTGTGAATACAAGCGTGCGTATGCGTGTCAGGTAAGTGAGCCAACACTTTAGGATCCAGGCTGGTTTCAGATTTACGTTAGCTTCTGAGTGCACGGGGAGAGCAAGAGGAAGATTCTGGAAACAAGTATTGGTGCTCAGAGCAGTCACCAAGGAGGCCAGACCCACCTCCAGATCCCATCTGCTCTGACACTTCCAGTACTACAGTCTGTGCCCAGTTTCACGTGTCTCCCTGTGGTCGCTGCAAGGAGACAGGGAGCTCCTAGAAGCTCATAATCCAGGGAGAGAGACAGATGAGTAAACAAATGACTACAGCTCAATGTGCTAAGTGCACAAGGGAGGTGCTTATAAAGAGCCAAGGAGGGAGTGGGCATCTCCGCAGGGAGGGGTGGGGCTGGGAAGGCTGGACAAAGGAGATGATGTGTCAGCTGGGTCTGGAAGATGAGTAAATGTGCGGAGGATCAGAAGGCAGTCCAGGCTGGGAGAACAGCATAAGCTGGTCAGGGGACCTGGCTGAGTCCTCTGGCGATGCAGTGTTTGCTCAGCAATGGCCAAAGCAAATCCAAACTTCTGTCCATTGTCCTCAAAGAATCCTCCTCCTCCTCTTTCACAATAGCTTCCTAACTAGTCTCTCTACGTCCTCTATTGATATCTTTTACTTTGATTTTTTTTTTCACTTAACAGCCAGAGTAAGTTTGTCAACACATAAATCACATGTGCCCCTTTTCTCCTTAACACCATCCAGTGGCTTCCTACCACACTTGGACTAACCTCCCTTGTTATTCTGGTCTGTAGACCCGCAGGATCTGGCCCCTGCCTACCTGCTGAAGTGATCTCATCCCGCTCGGCCCTTCACCTACCACGTCCACCCACACCGGCCTTCTCCCTATTCCTTGCACATGCCAAGCTGATTCTCCCTCTCAGGTCTTTGCCCTAGCTGGCCCCTTTGCCAGGAGCACTCCTCCCCCTATTCTTCACATGGCTGGTTCCACCTAGTCATACAGGTTTGTTACAAACTCTGTCTGGTGCCACCCAATGGTGGTTTTTTTTCAGCCTTCCTCCTTACTAACGTTAGCAACTTGGGTTTTGTTCAAGGGCAATGGTCTGGCCCTGCCCTGGCCCCGGGAGGTAAATCTGGATCTGCCTAACCCAATCGTGGTATAACAGGACACGGTGAGGGACAGGGCCTCATGGCCTTTTTTACCAAAAAACTCACACTGAGGACAATAGTTGATGCCTTGATGCCCTACATTCCTCAGAGGGCTCCAGGGAGGTATCCATCCCCTCTGGGCTTAAAAAAAGAGCAAAACTAATCTCCTACCTGCTCCTCCATGAGTGTAGGTAAAAAGAAGAGCAAAAAGCTGAAATTTTGGAAATGTAAAGGGAATTGTTAGAATATCCAGACAGGCCTAGGAGGAGAGTCCATGGGAGGATGGGTATTCCCTCTCATGTTTCGTTGAAGGGCTCTGAGGTGATCCTTCAGAGACGGTAGCTTTGAGAAGGAAGCCTTGCTCATTAATCCTAGGCTGGACACACCAACCCACCTCCTCCACCCGCAGAACTTCTCAGGGTCACTTGAGGGCTTTGGGGGGGGTTGTTAATGGGAAAGCAGTTGGAGCAGAGGTGTCAGTTTGAGTTTGGGGAGCTGAGGAACTCTGAAACTAGCCTTCAGTGGCAGGAGAGAGGACAGACACGTGGGGCCCGACTTTCTGGGTCTGGCAGGACAGATATGTACATGATTTCTCTGTGGCAAGTGGTCAATATGGAGGGCAGCAGGTCTGGCACCACCTTGGAAAGTTCCCTATCCAAGAAAGGATCCTGAAATAAGAGGCTGTGGGTGGCCTACAGGAGCTAAGGGGGCTTCATCTGAAGTTAAAGAGAACTGTTCTCAGAGAGAAACAGGCACTTTGAGGTGTACACAGAGCCTCCAAAGAGTCCATAAATGGGTCTCCTGAGACAAGGAGTGTGCGGGTGCCCGTCACACAGAGGGCTTCAGCAGTGGAGTCATAACAGAATTGGTGACTTAAGACTTTTGTCTCTTTTCCTCTAATTCTTCTAACTCCCTGTCTGACATCAGAAAAGCCAGAAGGGGAAGGAAGTAGAGGAGAAAATTAATGAAAGAGCAGGCTGTGCCCCCTTCTCTACTACAAGACCTCATGCTAGGATCAAGCCCAAGCTGGGGGCTGATGGGGAGAGAAAAGATGATGAGGGGGGAATGCATGTGAGATTGAACTTCTGATGGAGGCTGGATTGGATCTCTTAATCCCTAAGTAATAATCGCTGAAGCAGGACGACATTTTCAAAATTAAAATAGCCGGAAGTTAGTGGTCTAACTCAAAGGTCATCAATGGGAGAGCAGGTCTGAATAAAGTGGCCAGAGGAAAATAAAGCCGTTTCCTGTTGGTATCCCATAGACGTTAGTTCATTGACTAAACTGGCAACAATGCTGCTTCCACTCCCCCTGTCAGAGACAGGCTTGGGATAAAGCGTGTGCTGTGATTCTGTTATGAGGGCAAGTGTGTGAGAGGATTTTGAGGAATTTTTTTTTTACTCTGGAAAAATGTTTTATAATGCTGAAAATATATTCCACAAACCATTCACCAATTCCTACATGTATAATTCAGTGACAATAATTACATTTTTCATGTTGTGCAACTATTATGATTATTCTTTTCCAAATTATTCTACTACAATTAACATAAGCTCAATGCCTCTGAGAAAGAACTCTTCCTTTCTCCCTCTCTCCCATCCTTGGTAACTGATAATAATCCTTGGCTTCTAGAAATTTCCTTATTTTATGTGAGATCATATAGCATCTATTTGTGGGAAAGTTCCTTACTCTTAAAATGAGAAGTTATGGCGATGGTTGCACAACACTATGAACATAATTAATGTCATTGAATTGTATGTGTAAAAATATTGAAATGGCAAATGTTTTATTATATAGATAGAGATAGATAGATATAGATATATAGATAGAGATATAGATAGATAGATATAGATGTTGTTATTAAGTGCCATTGAGTCGAGTACGACTCACAGCAACCCTGTGAACTGTAACACGCCTGACCTCTGTCCTATCTTGCATTATATCATCCTCACCATCCCTGACACCCTTAAGCCCATTGCCACAGTCCCTGTATCAGTTCATCTCACTGAGGGTCTTCCTTCCCTTTGGAGACCCTCTACCTTTCCAAACATAATGTTCCTCTTCAAGGACCAGCCTCTCCTTAACAACATGCCCAAAGTATCTTAGACAAAGCTTCACCATCCTCGCCGCTGAGGAACACTGTAGTTGCACTTTCACCAAGAGATGAGCAAGGGCTGTTCTTTCTATTCCCTGGTCTGCTGACATTGCTGTGCAAAGATGTGATGGCTGGAGTTGCTGCAGTTATTTTGTGATGAAGAGGGGGATAACAAGCCAAAGAATAGTGGCCAACAGGGCTGAAGATGGCAGAAAGAAAAAGGTACAAGGAACCTGGGCTCTTGATGGAGTTACTGGGCTGCTGAATAATTCAAATCTTGAAACTTCTCTACCTTGAGACTTTGTTATGTGAAATAAATATTTCTTATTGATGAACCACTCGTCAGGGGGTTTTCTGTTCTTGCAGCCCCATAACCCCTGATACAAAGTCTCCATTCAGATGTCACCCTGACTATTCAAGCTAGGAAGCTCTGAGTCACTTTCTATCACATCTCCCTATTTATCCCCCCGCCCCCCATAGTCTCTGTCACCATCAAGGAGTCCTGATAGTATACTGCGTTCAGTATCGTATAGTATCAGGCTGCTAACCAAAGGTTAGAAGTTCAAATCCTGGGTAACTCCTCCTGAAAGACTTACAGCCTTGGAAACCCAGAGGAGGGCAGCTGTGAGTGGGAACCGACTTGACAGTAACACGTTCAGTTTTGGGGTTGCACCATCAGAAGTTCTCTTATTACTTGTTTACTTATTACCTAACTCTTTTCAATAGGATGTCAACTCCAAGTGAGCTGAGTGTCTGTCAGTCTTGTTCAAGGCTGAATCCTCAGTGGGTGCCCAGTCAATGCTGAATGAATGAATGAATTCTCAGGAGGAGCAGGAAGCAAGGCCAAAAAGCCAGGAGAGATGGGGATTATGATGTCCTGGGGTTTGGACTTTACCAGGAGGACAACAGGGAGGCTTTCAAACTGGAGAGTCACCTTGAGGGCAAAAGGACTGAGTCTTGAGCTTCAGACTAGAGGTTCCTTCCCTCTGGACCTCCACACAAGGCATGCTTGGGTACAGAGGAGGCAAGCTCAGACCCCTTCGGCATGGAGACCTGGGTGTGCTCTGCAGGTCTTTAAAGCGCGTCTGGTCTTTGTCCAGCACTCACCCACCAAGCTGTACAGCATCACCATCTTCTGATCTTCATAGATGTTCATGGGGTTCACCAAGAGCTGAAAGAGCCCTAGGGACATGGGAGCAAGCCAAAGACCTAGAGTGGGCTCCCATACCCTGCACAGTCTCTGCCTACCTCTGACCTTCCACTTCTACTCACCTATGGCAAGGAGCGCCCCAGTGCCTGCCCCCAGCAGGAAAGCGGTGACCGGAAACTCGCCAGCCTGACGCCACAGGAATCGACTCCAGGAGGGTGGCAGCCCCCAGCACAGGAGCCTCGCCACGGCTGAGGGGTCAAAGAGTTCAGCCCAACAGGACCAACAAGCCACTCCTCTGGCAGAGGATTAGGGGCTTTCTCGGGGTGGAGACTAGGGTGGGTCAGGGTGCTGGATGAGGGTAACAGGAACATGGAAGATTCTGGAGATGAAGGACTCTGAGGAAATTGGGCAGATGTGAGGAAGAGAATAGGAAAAGAGTGGGCTTGGGGACACTGAATGAGAAAGGGAGGTTGAGGGGAGCCCAAGGTGAGGGCAGAGTGGGGGATCCCTGGATGAGAGAGGTGAAGCTGAGAATAGCCAGGCTTTTTTTGTGACTCACTGGTGTGGGGTGGCTTCCTTCTTGACCCTTTGGCACCATTCAGATGAAGATGGACAGCCATTCTTTTGCTCTGGGAAATACTCTTACCCAGGACTCTCAGGGTGGTTCATGTATGAGAGGCTCTGGTGGCAGAAAGAAGGGGCTCCTCTGCTGCCTCACCCACAGCCTGGGTCTGAGCTCTATGTGTCTTTTGATCCCTCTACTTTTGTTAAGGAAAGAGATTACAGCCCCACTTGTCCCCTCCCCAGCCTTTGGAACTGGGTGAAGGAATTCCAAGGACACACAATGAAAAGCCCTTTGGAATCTTAGGATATGGTGAGACATTCCGGGATCCTTTGAGAGCCCCAGAATGTGATGGGCATCTCCTTGGGAGAGGCAAACTCTTGGTCTTAGCAGCCACGTATGAAGTCCTGAGGGACATTATGCCCTCTTTTGGGGCACAGGAGCCTAACATGTCAAAGACTGTGGTCCGCAGTGTGGCAGGCTTTGCCCTGGGCTTGTCCTTGGCCACAGCCTATGGGCTGTTAGAGCTGCTGGTGGAAGGGCGCAGCCCCTGGGGCTGCCTGGTGGGCACCCTCTCTTTGGCTGCCTTCCTTGGCCTGGGCATGGGCTTCTTTCGCCAGGTCCGCGTCAGTGTCCTCCTGCTGTTGCCCCAGGCATTTTCCAGTAAGCTTGGCACTGGGAAGGACAACTAGGTCTTTGGGCTGGGGTGAAAGAGGAGGTCTGGGGGAGAGTGGGCTGAGGGAAATATTCTGAATCCTTCTTTAAGAGGCTTGTGTCTATTGCCGAGCGCTGGGTGTTGGTTCTGATTGAGGTCTTTCTCAGAGCAGGGCCGGACACTGCTGTTGGTGGCTGCCTTTGTGTTGGTCCTACAAGGCCCTTGTGCCAACACCCTGCGAAACTTCACCCGTGCCAGTGAGGCTGTGGCCTGTGGGGCCGAACTGGCCCTGAACCAGTCCGCTCAAGTGCTGCAGCGGGCCAAGCAGCCCCTTGTCAGTAAGATGTCCTCGCCCTGCCTGTGGGCTCCAACCTGTGTGCTGTACGGTCTCCTGGCTTCATCCCTCTCTCTGGCACTGGGTTCCAACCTCAAAGCATCTGGGGCCTGGAAAGGGTCCTCTGGTCTCAGTGGCTCCTTCAGCCTCGCTCTCTGGTTTCCTCCATAGCCAGATCCCAACACCCAGGCACCCCACCTCTGGGATGGCTGCCTCCATTCCACTCCCTGGTCCATGGGTGATGGTGAGAATCCAGGCTCTAGAAGAGGGGGCCCCCACATGCCCTTGACCTTCCCCTTCAGGTGCCTTGAACAAGATTAAAGCCATAGCCCGGAAGGCCAAAGAGGTGGCTGACCGAGTCAGAAAGTTCTTCCGCTCAATCATCGATGGGGTAAAGCATATAGGTTAGCATGCATGCATATCATTTTTTGGGGATGGGGTGGCTGTAAAATGCCCCTGTCTCTCTGCCCCACCTGTGTCCAGGCCATTTCACTCTCTCCTGGGAGTTGACTAGTACTCCCTGGACAAGCATATCCGGGCACTGACCACAGGTCTCCGCCTCTCTGGAGGGCTTGATGTTCCCGGCTCCTTGAAAAGATACTGCCACACTCTAGCCCTTGATGCCAGCCTCATGCCCATCCCCAGCCAGGGCCCTGCGGAGTGTGTGGTACTGGCTTCTGCACATTGGAGACGTGTGCAATTCAGAGCTGGGCAGTCCTTACTCCAAGTGCTCTGGGATCTTCGAGAATGCCAAGGACGACTGCATGAAGGTCATCCCGCAGGCCTACCACCTGTGCTATGTGCTTATGCCCTTCAAGCTGGTGCTCTGTGGACTTGTCAGCGGTGAGAAAATCCGATGCTCACCTGGGAGCCTCCAAGTACCAGGAGGGTTAAGCAGTAGACTGATAGATGAGCTCGCAGACTACTAGGGAGCTCTGGTGGCACAGGGGAAATGAGCTGCATTGCTAACCTAAAGGCAGATGGTTCAAATCCACCAGTTGCTCCATAGGAGCAAGATGGCTCGTTTCCTCCTGTGCAATTAATATACTCTGAAAATCCACCAGGGAGGGTCAGCTATGATTGGTTCCAACTCAGTGACACATAACAACCGAATGACTAGCAGAAATGTTAGCAGTGGGAACCCACCCCTAGAGGTGCCTCAGAAGACAAGCCTGGCCATCTGCTTCTGAAACATCACAGCCTTGAAAATTCTATGTCCAGTTCTACTCTGTATATGTAGGGTTATCATGGAGACTTGGAATTTATTCAGAGCAACTCACAACAACGAAAGGGAGGGGTGGACCAGTGTAGAGGAACCACAGGGACAGGACAATGGAAGACCCAAAACTTAAAAAGGAATTCCCATTAAAAGAAGGTCTCTGGAGGCGGGAGGGCTGGCTGGCCTTCTGGCCCTCCTCCTGATACCTCTTGGTCGCTCAGTGGCCCAGGTGTTCTGCATCATCCCCAAGTACATCCAGCCCTTTTTGCGCAAGACTATTGGAACCCGTGAGTGGCCCCTCCCACCTCCTGCTGGGTGTCCCCCCTCCCCCAGCTCTGTGTGGATGAGGCCCCGCCAGGAGGGCTCCCAGTCCATGGACGAGAATTCTAGAGCTGGAACCTCAAGAGGTTCTCCAGGCCGGCCATCATCCATGTGAGGAGGAGGAGGACAGCTGACAGGGGAAGTTCACTAAAGCTCGCTTTTAGGGCAGGAGCTAGGTCCCCTGTCTTCTAGGGCGGGCTGTTGAGGTCATTCACCAATTTACTTTCAAATCCTTATGGGGCATCCTTATGTGGGCCGGGGGCTTGAGATGCAGTGGCGATGGCACAGAGAGGCAGAGGCTTAGCCTGGGAGTCCCTGGCTATTCTGAGTAGTGTGACATCTGGGCTGTGCCAGGGTCCCCCCCCCTTTCTAACAATCCTTGCTCACGTCACGCCCTACCTGACCTGTGGACCCCAGCGGTGATGAAGATGATTAATCGAGTGCGTCAGGAATTTGAATTCAATGTAACAGCCACCCATCACTTCTCTGTGAATCTCAATGCCTCTCGGAGCCTGTCCCAGGTTGCTCTGGACATCAAGGAGGCTGTCAGCCTGAAGCTGCACCACATCCGAGAAGCCCTGGTGCTGATGGGCTACACCACACCTCTGCTGCTCACGTTTCTCTACCTCCAGTGAGGGCGCTACAGGGAGGGTGTGGGTGCAGAGACACCTCCCCTAGGCTTCCTGGGAGGCTGAAGTTGCAGGGAGGGGGAGGGAGGGCGGAAGTCCCTGTGGGGTCCAGCCAGGGCTTCTGAGAGGAGGGACCTCATGAGCACTCTACCCCCACCAGAGCCCTGTTCTACCGGTACTGTTACCTGAACTGGGATAATTTTGACAATATCTACATCACCAGCCGCTTCCTGCGCATGGAGGCTGTCCGCTCCATGGCTGGACTGCCCACGGTGTTGCCGCTCAGTGCACATGAGGCCAGTTACTACATCCAACCTGGTGAGGGCATGGGACTGGAGGAGGGGGCTCTGAGGGATAATACCAGCCCCTGACCCCCAGGCCCACTGCCTTAGCCTGACTTCATGTGCACCCAAAGAGCCAGAGGGGAGAAAGAAACCAGGTGTGCCGTAAAGGTCAGGTTGATTGGGAGATATAGCCCTGGTCTGGGGGAGCCCGCAGTCTGGATAAAGAAAACAGACATGGAGAAAAGGGGCAGGTGGTACTTTTTGGAGCACCCTAAGTCAGGACAGAAGGACAGTAGGGCATGGCTATGGAGAAGGGGAGGTGAGATTGGAAAGTCTTTGGGTGAGAGGAGTGGGGCAGGAAGGCTGACAGATCTGCAGTCGGGGTGAGAGGACTCATGTGAGTAAGTAGGTAGCCAGGTAAAGGGATTAGCTGCCCCAAGGGGGAGGGTCCTGAGATAGTGACACCCCCTTTCACTGTTGCTCATGGGTCCTCACACCTTCTTTTGGGTGGTTTTTTTTTTTAATATTTTTTAGAATTTCGTTATTTTGTGTGTGTACTGTCAAATCGTATCTGTCCCTCCTTCTCCAGCACAGCATCTGGTGGATTCGAACCACTCTCCTCTGGGATTGCAGTGCAGCTTCTTGCCACTATGCCACCAGAGCTCCCTGCCTCATACCTTTTTTTGGGTTCCAAAGATCAAAGGGACATCCAAACTCAGTCAGGATCCGAGGTCCGGTAGGCAGGCGTGGGGAGGCAGCATTCTGAGTACCCCATTTCCACCCAGGCTCGCTCTCTCTGTCCCACTGGGAGCGGATATTTTACATTCTGGCCCTCTTCAGCCTCATTCGACAGCTCCTCCTTGTGCTGCTCCTGATTTTCCTGGACTATGCGGTCTTCTGGGTGCTCGACTTGGCCCAGCACCACCTACAGGGGGAGATTGTGGCCCGTAGTGAGTGTGCCCTCCGCCCCACTGAAGCCCGGGTGTCCTGGTCCTCATCCTCCCGTATCTTTTCCTCTTTCCCACTCTCGACCCTAGGTGACTGACTGTCCTCATTACTGTTATTCACCAAACCCTGATTTTGTCCCACATCTAACTAGTAACTAGCAAGGAACATCCAAATAGTCAAAACCACGCAGAAGAGTTGGGCTGGCCTGAGCTCAAATGCTAGCTCTGCCCTTTTAGCAACTGACGCCTTGTAAGCAAACTGCTTCATCTCTCGGAGTTTTTATCTCCTTTTCTGACAAATAAGCTACTAGTAGTAACCACGGGCCTCTGAGATGATGAGTGTTGAGTGCCTGGTAGCCCACTGACTGAGAAGGTGCCATGAACCACCAGGTCTAACTGATCTAATTCTCGGCACCAGAGGTCCAAGAGAAAAAGCAAGACCCCAAAACAATGAAACACTTAATCCAGTGTCTGCTATACTGTCAGTGTTCAGGCAAATGCAACACATAACTGCTTTGGGTGGTCGTGGAGGCCACTGACAAAAAAGGTCACCCCAGATCTGGTGGTTTGAGCACGCTGGTATCAGTACCATCCAGATGGCCCGGGGTGCCAATCTAAGATGTCAAGAGTCGTGAGTGTGTCTGGGCATCAGATGTCCCTCACTAAGGGTGTGGACCTTCCCTGGGGACCGTCCACTGGCCTGCAGAAGGAAGTGGGTATCTGCCGCGAACATCCTTCACACAGTGTCTTTGTGCCAGGCCCTGTGTTGATCTCCATAACTGTGGAAGGGGAAGGCTATACTGGGAAGATTTTTCGTGATCTGGCTTCGGCATTTAACATTCTGCAACAAGGCAACATCACTGTCTTGTCCAAACGCTGCCTCCTACGCCCCTCGGAGCCTGAACCTTCCAGTTACATAGTCATTGGTACCAGCATCACCCCTAGTGACATTGGGGAATGGGTGGCGTTCAGAACAGGAGGGGCACAGGCTCCTGGAAGGTCAGTCTTGGGGTGGCTGGTACCTTGTGGCCACTAGTGCTGAAGACTGTGCCTCTGTGCTCCAGGCAGCATGTATGGCCTCTGCTTCTTCGTCACTCTATTTGGTACTTATATCAGCCGGCTGCGGTGGCTCATCTGTGCCTCCTACTACCCATCCCGGGAGCAGGTAAGGGGTCCACAGTGGACAGCTGGTCCCTGCCCTACCCCTAAGGTGCCAAACTGTGGCCATTTGCCTTGACTTTGGGGAACTTCAACTGCCCCAGTCTTCTGTCCAGTAGTCGAGCCTGCAGGTACCTGGACTCCACAGAGGATTGGGAGAGTCACTGCCTCTTGAGGCAGGGCTTCCTCAAAAGCTTTGGTAAAACCATATAGAATTGGCGGAGTTGGCCTGTTAAAGTGTGGATGGACACCTGCCATTCGTTTATTTATTTGTTGGTGGTGTTGTGTACTGTTGACTCACAGCTGATTGATCCTCCAACAGATTTTCAGAGGCAGTAAATCTCGTGAGAGGAGATTCCCATCTTCAAACCACATGCCTTTGGGGTGGCAGTGCAGCTCATTACCACTAGGCCACCAGAGCTCCCTTGTTTATTCATTTACTGAGGCTCTCCTGTCTGCTAGTCACTATGCCAGGCTTCAAGGATGCCAGGATGACCCAGACACAGCCTGGAGCCACCCGCCTGGGACAGTCAGACAGACTCTAACAGACATTACAATTTCAGAATTTGTTGTTATTGTTGTTGTTGTTGTTGTTGTTGTTAAAGAATGAATAATGGACTTTGAAAACCCAGAGGGAAGGGTGAGTAATTCCACCTAGGGGTCCAAAAGGCTTCCCAGAGGAAGGGACATTTGAGTCAAGCCCAGAGGGATTTACAGGAGTTGGACAGAAGGAAAAGGCAGACAGCTGGGGTGGGAAGCACAGAGAATATTCCAGCAACTTAGAGAACGAGGATCAAGGGTACCCACTCCTGATCTCCCCTCTGCCAGGAGAGGATTTCCTACTTGTACAACATACTGCTGAGTCGCCGAGTCAACCAGTCCTCTGCCCTGCAGCGAGCAGTGAGGCGGCGGGTGGCTGACGAGGAGCCCAAGAGCGTCCTCCATGTGCTCAGCAGCCGGTGAGCCCACAGTCCGCCCCACACGTTCCTCATGAGGGACAGAGTAAGAGTGAGAGGTCAGAGCGGCTCACCGCCCTGCCCGAGGGTCAAACGATTTGCTTGGTTGCAGTTGGTGTTCATTCCATGCGACTCCGACTCCGCAGAAGAGAATTAAAAACAAACAAATGACAAGTCATGGCTGTTAAGTGAGAAGAGATTCATAGCTGGTTTTCAGAGGCATAAATTGCATGAGAGATTGTCCTCTCCTGAGGAGCGCTGGTGGATTTGAACCACCAGAGAAACACGACCTTGGAGTTAGTTGTACTGCTCCCTATGGGCCAGGCAACCAGAGCTCCCTCAGAAGGAGAATAAGTGGTGAGAACTCTCCCGGGTGGGTGGTGAGTGGAGATAGGGAGGCCAAGAGGTGGTTGCTGAAGTCAGAGGGGTGGGTGTTAGACTGCAGGAAGGCCAACCCTTTGTTTAGAGGTTGGTCTTGGAGAGCAGGAAAGGGTTCCTGGTGATCTAGACCAACTGGATTGTCCTTAGCATTTTGGGGCCTCTCTCCTCAGGTTCCCTTTCCTGGCTCGATTTCTCAGTCCCTTTCAGTCACACCAGGCGTACTGCTTGGGCTGTGGGCAGTCCCATGATGAAGCGGACATGGAGAACTTTGTGTCCTGCAGTACCCCAGGCTGCCGAGGTGAGACATCCTCGCACACTGCCCCCCCCCAGCATGTCTCTCTCTGCTGAGACTCACCACATTTGCATATGACCAAAAAAAGTTCTTTCTTATTGACTCCTCTATGCCACCTATCGTATCCTCCTTCCTTACTCTGCTGGTTGAATTGTGTGTGTGTGTGTGTGTGTGTGTGTGTGTGTGTGTGTGTGTGTGTGTGTTATTTTTGCTCGTTCTTAATTATAAGGAATCCCCAGGTACCTCCTTTCCTCCACTCTCACTGCTGCCTACCGAACTGACTCATCGCTGACCCTCTCATGGGTTTTCTGAGGCTACAAATTGCATGGGAGGAGACTGCCTGTCTTTCTCCCAAGGAGCTGCTGGTGGGTCTAAAAGGCCCGAGAGGGCCCACCCATGAGTTAGCACAATTTCCTGTGGACTACACCACCAGAGCTCCTCCTTTCCTCCATTCTTAACTCTCTCCATGAAACAGGATTAATATGCAAGTGGCCCTGTCACCATCTCCTGGTTATGCCCCCTGTGGGAGACAGTATGCTGTGGTCAGGGTAGGAAACGCAAGACCGGAAGCTGGCTAATCCAATGGATGGGCGGCTAAGTTCACATCCACCTCCTACCCTCCCGGGATCCTCCAGGTCTCTTCTGCACCACTTGTTTCCGTCTCCTGGGCAACACCTGTTCTGTGTGTGCATCTCCTCTCTCCTACCAGGCGGAGCTGGACCTAGAGCTGTGAGTCTTCCAGGGACATGAGGTGGCTGGAGCCTGGGACGGGGACAGGAGGACTAGTGACTTCTCTGGGTCATTGAGACAGGAGTCTTCTGCAGGGACTCCAGTGATGAGGAGCATTCTCCTCTGTGGCTGCCTTCAGCTCCAGAAGAAGACCCTAAGAAACAGTGGCTACTGCAGCCACAGCTCCAAGATGCAAGAGGCAGGAGTATTTCCTCAGCCTCCAGCGAGGAGTCCAGGTGAGTTAAGGAGTAGAGGATCTCTAAGGGGAATGATTGCAGCAGGCACCACCAATCAGGGAACGGAGCAACTGACAAATGAAGACCAACCAATTTTGGATAGGCTTCACAGAAGAGGTGACAAATGGGCTGGGCTCTTTCAGGGGCAATGAGGTGGTTGTTAGGCCAAAGACAGAGAATAGCATTCCAGGGGGAGTCATGTGAGTGTGAAGAATGTGAGACATCCAAGAGCATAGAGCCTAAGGGGGAGAGAGGGAGAGAGAGGATGGTATGTCTGGGTGGGGAGACCTCAGAGAATGTTGGGAGATAAGGTTGGAAGTTAAGATGTAGACAGATGGGAGTAAGGCCTTTCTTGCTATCTGAAGATTTTAGGTGGAAAGTGGCACGTTCACATTTGTCTTCTTGGACAACAAGCTAAGAAGGCAGAGTGGAGACTGAACGGGAGGCAGGGAGCCCAGAAGTTAGGGCTGGCCTCAGAATGGAGGCCCTCGGAATGGCAGAATGGATTTCTGTGCTTAGCACTGTGGTGGAACAGGAAGGAGAACTGGTTCCGTTCGAGACCTTTGAGAGCTCCTGTCTAAGGGCATCCAGCTGGAGATGCCCAGAGGGTAGTTGGAAAGGGGCAGGGCTCCGGACTAGAGAGCCCAACAATCTTTGGGGATTGTTGATTTAGAGATTGTAGGAGAAGATAGATTATCCTGGTGGAAGGTGAGACGGGAGAGGAGACTGAGACAGGATCGGAACCCAAAGCAGCTCCCTCCCAAACCAAGGAAAGAGAGACTTTAAGAAAGCATTACCATCTCATGCCATGAAAAGACCAAGCCAGATGAGGACTGAAGACATTGAGAAATTGACATTGAAGAATTGAGAAATTACTGGAGTGGTTATGGGAATGATTTTCATGGCATTGCAAAAGTAAAACCCAGATCAGAGTGGATTGTGTGTGGGGTAGCTAGAGGAGAGGACTCACACAGAGTAAGGGGCTCCTGTATCACTGTTGTGAGAAACGTGACCTTTTAGTAGTCACTGCTGTGACTGTGAAAAGAGACTCTCATAAAGACTTTTGCTTCACACAGCAAAAATAGCTCGGAGAGGACCCAGCACCAGATTATTTTTGCTTTTTCTTTATCCAAGAACAAGCAGGGGAATTTGAAGGAGTCCCTGGGTGACATAAACAGTTAACCTCTGAAAGATTGGCAGTTTGAAGCCACTCAGAGGTGCCTCAGAAGAATGGCCTGGCAAATCTTCTAAAGGGTCACAACCTTGAACACTCTGTGGAGCAGTTCTATGTCCACAGAGTTGCCACAAGTGTACTGGATGGCAGCTAACAACACAATAGGGAGATTAAACATTTGAGAAGTGAAAAAGAAAGTGCATTTAAAAGGGATACAGGAGGAGTGAGATCTAGGACTAGGTGGACAGGTGGCTAACCCAAGGCAAGAGAGGAAGACTACAGGAGCTGAGCAGAGTTGAGTCAGGCCCAGCCTGGTTGGTGGCCTCTCTTCTGTGTGGGGATTAGGTGGCAAGGACACCTGCTGAGTGAGTGATGAAGGAGGGGGTGGCTGGGAGTAGAATAAAGGTTTAAGGAGTGGGTGGTGGAGGTTGAAATACCTGCCACTGGGAGTGTGCAAAGAAGTTCACCAGGGAGCTTGTGGGATTTCCAAGTAGCATTAAAGGCCCAAATGATGTTGAAAACCTTAACATTGGCTCCAGTGGGCATAGCTTGCGGTTTTCTGGAGCAAACGTAGTAACTATGAACAGGATTGAAAAGGGTGAGGGCTTTTTCTGGGCAGGTCAGTGTGAGAACAAGATGAAAAGTAGAGCATCTTCAGTTTCTTAGACTACTGGCCTTGAATAAGAGAAGGGGCTTACGCCTGGGAGACAGTCCTGAGTCTGTGTCTTGAGGTGTCAGGACCAGAAAGTAAGCTGTAGCTGGGAGAAGAGTCCTGGATGAACCCAATGAGAGGCCAAGTCTGAGGGAGTTGTCTGAGTGTGAGCAGAGGTGGTGAGGGTCACTAGGGCCAAGGAAGAGAAAGGTGACAAAGTTGGATGTGTCCTCCACTGAGGAGACTGCTGGACCACTCAAGCACTCAGAGTGAGGTATCACACCCTGAAGATCATGGCAGGGTGTTTGGGGACCTGAAGTTACACCTGTGCGGTTGCTGCCATAGAAGCTGAGGGTTTTTGAAAACACCATGAGCCAGCTGGGTTTGAGAACCAGCTGCCCCCACTCGGTAGGACTGCAAAGAAAACTGGAAAGTGGACCCTTTCCAGTGAAGAGAGCAGTGGAGACAGAGAAGAGTCTAGAGGTTGAAGGGGAAGCAAAGTTTTCTTTTCAGATGTCCCAGAGGGCCCAGGGATAGTGAAAGCTGGGATGGCAGAGGGGGCAGCTTGAGTCTTAAACAGGTATGATCTTTTGGGGACATTATTGCATTTGCCTATCTCGGCTTCAGCCTCAACTCAAGAGAGCCATAGCCTTGGGCTGATAGGTCTTGTAGGTCTTCTGGAGCAGGAGTGGCAGGTAAGTGACAGGAGAAGAATATTCACAGACGCCTTAGAGGAAGAACGCATCTATGAAAAGTGTTGATGGGCTGGCCAGCTTGCTTCCTTTCCTCACTTAGTGACCTGGATGAGGACAAGGTGCCTTACCAGAGGCAGCAGCCTCTACCCGAATCCCTTCAGTCTGCTAGCATTTCCGTGACTTTTCAACACCACTGACCTCATAAATTCTCGGCCCTGGAACAGTGAACTTCAGACTGCCCCCAACCCCACACCCACATCCCGCCTTTGTCCTTCATTCTGATCCCTCTCATCCATTCCTCAAATAAAAGAACCAAAGGTGGACACAAGTATGAATCTTAAATTATTATTATTTCTTCCTGTCGCTTACACCCGAGGTGGGGAGGAGGGTAAGGGAACAGAAGAGGGGAGATTATCTCCCCCCTTAAGGCACTGACTGGAAAAGCCAAGGAGAGGGAGGGAGGCCATTCTGTCCTCACTCCCTGAGGCTAGGCCCCAGGTCTCCCCAACCCTGGGCTCCCCCCATCACCTGAAATGCTAAGATGAGGCCCAGGGCAACCCGACCTCCCCCTAATATATTACATCATCATTTTTTTAAATAGATACAGGGACTGGTCCCGCTACCCCCTCCCTGTGACACCCCCCCCATTGTTGGGGGTACCTGGGCAGCTGTGCAAATGGGCATGGGGGTGCATGGGAGGGAAGGAGGGAGGGAGAGCACCGGGCCCCTGAACCTGCCCCTTTCAGGAGGGAGAGGAACCGCTAGGCCAGGGAGGGGAAATAGTGCAAGGCAGCGCCCAGGCCGCAACAGGGGTCCAGCACCCAGCGAGGACGGGGAGGAGGGAGACAGCCTCCACCCCCAGCAAAATTGGAGAGTTAAAAATCTGAAACTAGATTTCAACGAGACCAACAGAAGAGGCTATGTACAGAACGGGGTGGATTCGATCCTAATGGAAGTGAGGGGATCACTCTCCCCTACCCAACAGGAAGCCTGGGCTGCAAGGATCCGGGAAAAGGCCTCCTTTCCCACAGCTCCGCAGCCCTCTTTCCCAGAGGCTAAGCGTGAAGTTATTTGCCCACTGCAGTGACAAAGGGCGCCACTCTGCAATGGGAGTGGTTGAGGTGAGTGAAGCCTGCGGCTTGGAGCCGTCGCCAGGGGGGTGCGCGCCACCAAAGGGCACGGCCACCAGATGGCGCCGGCTGGCCCGCGCTCCACCAGGCTCCCCCCAACCTCTCACCCCGTCCCACACCCTGTGCCCCGCCAGCCCGGGGGCGGCGTGAGTCAGGGGCGGCAGCGGTGGCGGCGGCTCCGGCTCGCACCTGGGCGGGGAGGAGGTTGGGGGGAGGAGAAGAGGGTAGGGCCCGCCCTGCCCTCTGGCCCCAGGGAGGGAGCGGCGGGAACAAGACATTCCCTGCCCGGGGACGGGACGCAGGGAGGGGAGGGGAGAGGAGAGGAGGGGAGGAGAGAGAGAGAGCAGCTCCCCTAGCTGGGCGGGGCCCCTCCCGCTGCCCCCAGGGGCAGGCGAGCCAATCAGGCCACCCCACCCCCTTCTTCTCCTGGACCCCATGACTCAGCGCTGGGAGCAGGGTGGAGGGGACTGGGATGGCTCCTTCCTTACAGGCCCAGTCCCCCTAGTCTTTCAAGCTTCTACCTTGCTCCCCCCACTTTACCCTTCCGTCGCTGCCCCCTTTTGCATAATTCACTGCCAGGAAAAGGGAACAGAAACTAGGAAGGAGGGGTCTTAGAAGGGAGGGGCAATCCTTCACCCCCCTACACAGCCAGAGCCCCAAGGGGGTATGGGGCGGGGCAAGGCTTTGGTCCCAAGCCCCCCCCAACCCCTAGAAACCCGCATAGCCGAAGAGCGACCCCATGAATCAGAAATACATTATTGCTTCTACTCCCCAGGAGCAGCTGGGACAAGAACCCCACCTTTACAAAAGAGCTGTAAATATATACATATCGTATGTATGACTCCTTGGAGACCACCCCAATCTGGTGAGCCTTTGCCCCAAAACCTCAGCTTGGAACTGGAATGAGGGCTCGCCGGTGGGGAAGGAGGGATTCCAATGCCAGCAAGGCCCAGCGCCTCTGGCCCCAGCTCTGTCTGTCCTGCTTGCTCCCATCGCTTGGCATGGGTGTCCCCGGCCTTGTGCTGCTCCATCCAGGCCACCTGTCCCTCTTTAAGAGGACTCCATGGCTCCCTCAGCTTGAGGCGTGTTGGGTGTCCCCTCCTCGTCGTCCTCATCAGGGGGCACTGGAGTGGAGACTGGGGGCCCAGTGGGGGCTGACTGCTCCCAGAATCGAGCCAGGGAGAGGCGGTAGGTGTCCAGGTGGCCGTTGGAGAGATCGAGCCCAGCAGGGGACAGCGTGGCAGTAGAGGGTGGTGGGTAGTGGGGTGGCGCATCATCCTTGCGGCGCCGCCGTGTGCGCACCTCCAGACAGTTCTGGCCCTTGAGATGGCGCTGCAGGTGGTCCTCCTTGGCAAAAGCCTTGTGGCACAGGTGGCACTCGTAGGGCCGGTCGCCTGTGTGCAGGTGCATGTGGTTCTTGAGGTCGTAGCTGTGCAGGAAGCGGGCTGGGCAGTGCGGGCAGGAGTAGGGGCGCTCTCCTGTGTGCTTCCGCATGTGGATCTTCAGCTTGTCGTTCCTGGCGCAGGTGGGAGAGAGGGGCCAAGGAGGTGTTCAGAAAGGCCTCACTCTGGCCTGGCTCCCAGCCTCGTCCCCCTCCTCATCTCTCCATGTACTTCCTATTTACCCCCAGGATACCCTTGCTATCTTGTCAGCTTTTGCCTCTAGCTCAGGCTTTTTCAACACTAAACCCCCTTCAATGCTCTAAATCCACCCTCTAGTCCGGCGTTATTTATCCTCCTCCTCTATACTACTGGTCTCCCTATTCTAATGTTTCTCCCAACTCGATTCCTTTCCAGAACCGCCTCCTTCCACGTTTTAACTCTCATAATCTCCTCCCTGACCCAGGGCCCCTTTCCCTGATGGGTGCTCACCGGGTGAAGCGGACGCCGCAGACTTCACAGGCAAAGGGCTTCTCGCCCGTGTGGGTCCTCATGTGACGAGGCAGTTTGCCGGCCCCATGGATGATCTTGTGGCAGACCGGGCACTCCTGTGGCATCTGTGAGCGGCGCTTTCGCACCAGTTTGTCCTGGCAGTCCAGGCCTGGCGTCAGGGCATCCTGGTGCAAGGAGCTTAGGTATGCCATCAGGTCAGGATCGATAGCATCCTCATCCGAGCCCAGCTCCTCTGGGGACAGCGGGGGCCCGCCACCCTGTGAAAGCCCATAGTTGGGGGGATATACCAGTTCCTCCTCTTCTTCCTCACCCTCATAGCCCTCGTAGCTCATGGGCCCCTCAGAGGGTGAGGCAGTCCCTGCAGGAGGGCTGTAGCTGTCCCCTAGCCCACTGCCACCACTGCTGCCTACTCTGCCCACTGCCTCTTCGTCCTCGAAGGTTATGGGGTGAGTGGGCATGGCTGGCACCTCAGGTGTCAGGTGGTTTGCCCGAGCCCCCTTGGTCTGCAGGAAAGCTTTTCGGGGCTTGCGGCTGCGGCGGGCAACAGGCCGAGGTGGTGGTGGTGGTGGTGGCGGAAGGGGTGCCTGCGGTGGGCTGTCCTCACCATTGGGCACTCCGGAGGCTGTGGCTGTGGCAAAGGCCTCCAGGTACTGGCGGGCCCGCTCACAGTCGTCCTCATCAGGGCTGGGAGCTTCTAGTCCACTGCCCTGCAGAATCTCCACACAGGCAGCGATGACACACGGGATTTCCAGCAGCCGGGCAGCCTGGAGCACAGCTGGCATGTTGGCGCTGCTGGTGGTCAGCGTGGCTGTGTAGGCAAACTCGAGCAGGGCACCCAGAGCCTCTGGCCCCACAAAGTCCAGTTCACACACACCAGCCCCGGCTCCACCTGTGGCCCCCCCACCACCTCCAGGCCCCATGCCCATCCCACCACCACCCTCTGTGAAGAGCTTCTTAAAGTAGTGACTGCAGGCAGCCAGCACAGCCCGGTGAGTGCGGTACTCGAGCCCCTGCGTCCGGATGGTGAGGTCGCAGAGGTGGCCCAGCTGGCGTTGCTCATTGAGGCAGCTCAGGAGCTCACTGCTGTGGTCTGGGAACGGAATCCCAATTAGGTCATCCTCAGGGCTCCCCATCTTCTCCTGCAGGAGCAAGCAGAGGAGGAGGGTAAGAACACAGCTCTCTGAGGGGGCCTGGGGAAGGAACAGCAGCACTGGCCAAGATTTATGGAGAGATCACATGTATGCCATTAAATTGATCTTGACTCACAGCAACCCTACAGGGAGAGAGTAGAACTGCCTCTGTTTTTGAGACTGAAATCTTTCCAGGAGCAGCTTGCCAGACTTCTCCCTCAGTCACTGGTTATTCAAACCACGGTTGGTTCGTGGCCGTGATTAGCCACAGTGCTCCTTTCTACGTACACCCATTGAATCTTGCACTACCCTCTGAAGGACAATTATACATTCTCCAGACAAGGAAACTGAGGTTCAGACAGGTAAAGTGACTTTCCAAAGCAGCAGAACAGGATTCAAACCCAGGCAGCTGGCAGAGTCAGTGTTCATAGCCGTGGCACTATTGGACTGTAAGCCTTGTCTTTCTGGCCTTTTCCTAGAAATTCATCTGGATCATCTGCCACAACTTGACCCTTCTGGAAGGATCACCTGACTGGGAGTTAGGACACCCGCATCCAGGTTCAGGCTTAAAGAATTTGGTAAAGGATTCTGGGTCTGTGTAGCAGTGGGCCTCAGCCATCTGATGCACTGGGGAGCAGTCTATGCAAGACAATCTCCTCACAGCCCAAAAAAAGGGCAATGAGAGAATTCAGATTTACACAGGACCATGAGGCACTCGAGGCCAAGCACAGTCAGGCCCTTTAACTCAAGTTATCTTTCTAACGCGTTTGGTGCACTGTAAAACACTATGCAAACAAGAACACCCTCTTTCTCTGCAAGTCTCTCTCCACCACCACCAAAAGTTCATCTCTCCTTCTAGACCTCCCTTCTAGTAGAGACCAAACGGGAAACACGACTCCCAGTAGCACCCCCTCACATCCTCCCCTCCCCCATGGGGGCCAAGGAGCAGCCACCCTTTGCTGGGGTGCTGGCTCGGGTGCTTCCTGCCCCGCACAGATAAGCATCACCCCGGCCCCTTCCCCCACTGCCAATAGGCCAAGTTCCACCACTCCCTCACCCCCTCTGCTACCATCACCTCCTTTCCCTACCCATTCCTGGAGACTTTCCCCCCCACCTCTCCATTCCAGCAAGCAGGCTCATGGTGTCTCACCTGTTCCTCTTTTCTCTCTTAAGACCTAGCAGGAGGACAGAGAAGCAGCAAGCCCAATAGACTGGGAGGAAGAAGGCTGGCTTGGAAAGGGGGAGACCGGCGGCACGTTCTAGCTCTGCTACTATCTTGCTGAATGACCTTGGGAGAGTCACTTCTCTCAGAATTTCAGTTTCCTCAGCTGTAGGAGGGGTGGGAGTGGAAGGCCCTAGGGTCCAGTCTTCTAGCCCTGACATTTGGATCTGGAGCAAGTGGAGACAGTGTTAGAGCTGGAAAGAGTAGAGCTCTGGGGTCAGCCAGGTTTGAATCTGAAAATTTAGTTTTCTTTGATCAGCTCTGCAATCTAAAACGTGATTTAACTTTGGATCTTTGTTCTGCATCTACAACTGTGATAATCTCACCCGATTGCTAGGGTTAAATGAGACCATGTGCTTGCTGTACAATACCTGACACATAGCTGTTCTTAGGTGCTGTTGAGTCTAGTACGAACCACAGTGACCCTATGAACAATAGATCTGAACCCTGTCCTAACTTGTGCCATCTTCACAATCTCTGACATACTCAAGCCCATTGCTCCACACAGTACATACTTAATAAACATGTCTTTCCTTCAACCTTAAGACCTAGGGGAGGAGGGAGATAAATGAAGGCCTAACACAGGGGTGAGGCTCACTATATAGATGGCCTCTACTGAGAAAACCATTTGAGGGCAGGAAACGGGTCGACCTCCCTCCCTCAGATCACTTGAGGGAGCCAGGTTACTACCAGCTCCATGACCTTGGATAAGTCACTTCCTTTCTGAGGAGGCCTATTTCCTCTGTAATATTAAAAGCCAACCCAGATGATCCTCCACATTTTGTCAATGTCCCTTTGGCCACTTCCAGTAGCTGCTCAGCCTGGGCTGACGGAAGAAGGTGTTTTGGGGGATGAGGGTACGGTGAAGGGCCCCAGATTTCTTTGGGATTACAGAGCAGCACTGTCTCTATCTCTATGCCAGCCACTTTTCTTGGACTGCCAGGGCTGGCTTCTGCAAGGACGCCTTCGTGAGCAGCATCCACGTGTCTGTCTGTGCTTGTAAGCCACACCTAGGTTTCCTTAGCTAGCCCACTCATTCCCACCCTAAGTCCCCAAACCACTTCTCTCCCTGACCTCCAAGCATCCTGGGAGCTCTCCGTGGTTCCCTTACTGGTCCTGGGCAAATGGTCCAAGTGGTAAAAGGCCTCAGGCCTTTGAAGCAAACAAAACCTGGGTGGGCAAGCATCATCAGTGGCCACTTAAGCAGCAGTGAGCACCCTCCTGAGCCCAAGCAGATCATGTCCCTCCTGAGGGGGATGGGTGGGGCCAGGCTCCCAGTCCATTGGCAGAGCTGGGCACCCGCAGGCACGTGGCTCACCCCATCCCTTTCACTCCTTTCCTCTCCACCCCACCCATTCCCGCTGCTAAGCCCTCCTCCTTTCTCCCACCCCAGGGCCAGTCTCTGTAGCAACTTGATGTGGCGGGGGTGCTGATTGGCTGACCCTGCTGTCAGGTCACAGGCTTAGGCTGGTTCACCATGAAACTCACAGAGCGGCTTGGGCAAGGGTGGGTGTTTAACCCCTTAGGCCCAACTCCAATGCCTCTGGCTAAGAGGTGGCAATGGAGGAGGAGGAGCTTATAGCATAAGAGATGGTAGGGAGAGGCAGAAGACACATGTGGGGAAGGGAGGGTGTTCTTACAGTTCTACAGCTTCTGGGAAACTCCCCCAGCTCTTACCCAGTGCTCCTGACACTCATGCCAACTTAGATGCCACCTGGAGCTGCACTGATGCCAACCAGGCCAAGGGGGCACTCCTAGCCCCATCATCTGGGAGAGATGGGTGGGGTGATGCCTCCCCTTCTTGATGCCAGGGTGTGGTACTGCTGCCAGGGTGCCCACCCTACCTTGGGCACCCTTCCCACCTCTGCATCCCAGAGGGCCCAGCCCCCTGACGCCCCATGAGGACAGCCCATCTCCACCCAGCCTGGCATGCCCCCTCTTGCTAAGACCTTGTGGGCATGGGTGTGTGTAGTGGGGGGGGCAGCTGTGCCAGGGAACTAGGCAAGGTCTGTTTGGTCTGTTTGCCTGGTAGGGGGAGAACTGAGGGCCCCGCCCCATCACTCCCCCCTTTTCCCGCCACCCCCCCAGGCTCCCCTCACTGTCAGTCCTGCTAGACCGGCCAGGCCGGTGGGCAGCTCTCTTGAAACTGGGCCCTGAGTCAAGCCTGCCTCATCTTTGGTGGGGGAAAGATTTAGGGGAGAGGAAGGTTGGGGGGAAGCAAAGGTAGGAGCCACGATCTCCTACCCCTCAGTGCCCAAGAGCACCTGCCAGGGTGTGTCTACCACCACCAAGAACTCAAAAGGTAGAGGGCACTGGCCCTGACTTGGAAAGAAAAAGGAGATTGGAACTCTTTCCAGGTGCTGACCTCAGGCAGTGTCCAGTGCAGGGCTGGGGGGCACCCGGGCCAACACTGCTGGCTAGAGCCAGCTGAAGGGCAGGGATAGGAGGCCCTGAATGGGGCAGCTGAGTAAAGCTGGCCCCCTTCCCCCCACCCTGGGGATTAGGGGAGTGAGGCTTAGTGTGGGGGGCAGCAGGCGGAACCAGGATTAGTGGCGGAGAAAATAGATATGGGCCTGAGACACAGGCACACACAGCACCCCCCTCCCCAGGCTAAAGTGGGCGCCCCCACCTCCAGGCTCTGCCAGAGAGCCTGAGAGGGACCTGGTCTGGCTTCTCCAGGAGTAAGGGCACAGAGAGGACCAGGCTGTGATGTCCTCCTGCCAGGGGTGATGGAGAGACCGGAGACTCTTCCCAAAGCTCCAGCTTCCTTGCCAGTGCCCCTCCCCCTAACTTCTTTCTCCTTTCTACCCCCACCAGCCCCCACCCCAACTCCAGCCTCAGGTTCTCTTCCTGTTTTTTTCGAGTGAAGTTTGCACGAAGTCAGAGCTTTGGCCTGTGGCTGGACCAGGGGACAGTGAGGGAATAGGAGACACAGTTCAAAGTCCTCAGGGACCCAGGAACCCTAGCTTCCAAGCTTCTCCCACCCCTTTCCAGGGCCTCTGGGGCCCAGGGGCTGCAACCATCTGGACTGCCCAGTTGGGAAGGCAGGGGCTGAACTGTATCCCACTGGAGGATTGGAGGGGCTTCAAAGAAGAGGTCCTCTGCCTGGGGATGCCCTTGGCACTTAAGGTTTCCTTCTCTCTGCATTGCAGCCCCCCCAAACTTGGGTCTGCCTTCCCCATCCCCCATATGTCGCTTCCCCCCTCCTAACCTCACCACCCCCAGCACTCACACTTCCTGGGGGGAGGCGGGGAAGAGAGAGACCGCAAGCCAGAAGGGGGAAGGAGGCAAGGGGAGTAGGCTGCTTCCCGGTGTTGTGGGGGTTAAGTCTCTCCCCCCCAAAAAATCCCCCATTCCTGGCACAGGGGCTCCTGAAATGAAAGGGAACTCAGTGATCCCCTACATTTTCTTTCCGTGACACCTGCTTGAGACTACAGCACCCCAGCTCCATCAAGGGAAATAGGAGGAAGAGGAGAGATGGGGGAGAAAGGAATGAAGGCTACTCCAAACTTCCTTACTCTTCTCCTCTCTACTTTTGGGTACCCCTTGGTCTTCAGCCTCAATCACCCTTCATACTCTTTCCTCAGCCTCTGCCTGTCCCCAGGCAACCTTCCTTCTTGGGCCCTTGTAGCCCCTGTCGGAGACTCCTCCATTACTGTCATGCCTTTGGTCCTTGAAAGGTTCCTCACCTTCTATCACATCTATGTCCTGAGGCCCCATCCTAGGGATCATCACCCTAGGATCTCCCTTCCTTTCCTTGCTCCATTCTCCTTCTCGTGGTGCCTAG